AGTTTGCGTCTAGTCTCTTAACTTCTCACTAGCAAGTAAGTCCACATGAAATGTTGGAAAGAAATGGACTTTGAGAAATAACTGAAGTTCTATTCCTGGCTTTGCTAGTAACATGTTGGGTGACTTTCGTAAAATTGTTTAACTTATTTAAACCTTACTTTCTTCATCTGTGAATTGGAGATAATAAAGCTAATGACATAGGGATTTTGTTGAGAACAAATTATTTTATATACACATTCACATGAAGCATAGCATTACTTATCCTTGAATCTATTCATTCAACCAATGTTTATTAAGAACCTACTATATGCTAAACATTGATATACCTTAGAGGTATAGTGTTGAGAAAAAGACATCCTGTAAGACATTTATAGTTTAGCTGGGGGGGAGAGACTTTAATCTTAAATAATAATTGTGAATATTAATATACAATTTGTGGTAAGTGCCCTGAAAGAGAGGTAGTCAGGGACAGTCTCCCTAAGGAAATAGCCTACTGTAAGAATCTGAAATTTCTACTGTAGCAGGAAGGGAAGAATGAAGGGGGGAAAATCGGAGGGGGAGACAAACCATGAAAGACTACGGACTCTGAGAAACTGAGGGTTCTAGAGGGGAGGAGGGTGGGGGGATGGGTTAGCCTGGTGATGGGTATTAAAGAGGGCACGTACTGAATGGAGCACTGGGTGTTATACGCAAACAATGAATCATGGAACACTACATCAAAAACTAATGATGTAATGTATGGTGATTAACATAATAAAATAAAATTTAAAAAAAAGAATCTGAAATTTCAATAGGCAGTGACTCCATCAAGAGGTCAGGAGGGGAATTAGATAATGATGTTGTATATGCTCTTCTCTTTGGGTGGGAAGGAGCAGGTGTTGTTGGAGAGTCAAAAAAAGCCAGGGCAGTTGGAGCAGAGAGAAGACAGGAGGGAGTGGTAATGGGTGACAGTGGAGAGGGCCACTGTCAAGGACCACATTTAGGTGATAGACCTTGGGCACCATCCCAAGAGCAATGGAAAGCCATTTAAGGGTGTTTAGCAGTGGAACAACATCACTCTGGCTGCTTTGTAGAGTTGGAGTGGGTTAAGTGGGTTTAGGAGACTATTGCAGAAGCCTGGGCTAGTCATGACCATAACTGGAGTTAGTGTTATAGCTTGCTTGGAGATGGAGAGAAATGTAAACATTTGAGAAGACATATCTGCATTTTCTTGCTAAATTCTTTGATTAAATAGCTTCAACCTGAACTGTTTTTACATAGGTTGGGTTTGTATGTGTGTGTATCAATCTAGCATCATAAAATCTTGAGAGTTGGGAGAGATGTCAGATTCTTGAGTATGTAACTCTCGTAGAGAAAGAGATGGAATTATAACCTGCTGAGATTTGCACAACAATAGCCTACCTTATCCATGCATTTGTTGAGTAGAAATAAGAAGATACTATCTATGTAGATATATGTAGACTTTACAGTGTGTCAGCCACTTTGCATATATTAACTAATTTAATTCTCACAACAAACCTATCAGGCAGGTGCTATTATTGCACATATTATAGTTGAGACATAAATGGAGACACACACAGCTGACTAATTTCTAACAAATAAATGGTAGAGCTGGGATTTGAACGCACGTATTTGTCTTCAGATTCATTTGGCCAACCCCAGTGGCAAACTATGACTCTTAGGCCAAATCTGACCCACTGTTTTTGTAAAGACAGCCAGAAAATTAATAATTAAAAATAATTTTTTTTAAGTGTTTAAAAAAATATAAAGAATCATGACAGATTATATGTGGTCCATAAAGCCTAAAATATTTGCTTTTTGGCCTTGTACAGTGAAAGTTTCTAGCCCCTGCACTATGCTAACCATTACTAAGAAGATATGATATGTTCCTTCAGTAGAAAGTTGAGAGTCACTGATCTTTATAGATAAAGGACATATCTGGTCATAAAATGAGTTAGTTGCAGAGTGAGAATAGCATACTTATAGTTCCTGTTTTAGAATTATTTTTCTTGATATCTGCAAATTTAAAATTGAGGACTGGTTTGACTTTGTGTGGAGAAAGTTTCTTGGAAAGATAAATTTATCCTTCCCATAGTAGGATCAAAGGTAGCTGGGCTATTGCTGAGTTACTTAATGTGATGACTGTCATTAAGACAATGAATTTCAGATGAATTTTGTGTGCTGCTTTAGCATTTGGAGATGGTATATTACACAAAACTTTCTATTTTGAACCCATGGTTTGCTTTTGAAAAGAAAAATTAGGTCAGTACTAAATATTGATAATTTTGCCCTTATAGCAACAACTGTTTGGAGAAAGAAGAATGCCTCTTTAACAATGCATTTCTCCTGCCCCCAGAACTGCATTAATAAGAGAGAATATAGCATATTTTTGGCCTTTCTAGATAAATTGACTTCTTCCTTTTTGAGAAATTCTGATATTCATCTGAATTTTATAGAGAGGTATATATTTATCCGCTTAAGTATTTATTAAATCTTACTATAATGATAGGCATTTGGGGGGATTGTAAAGATGATTACAGAAGTTTTTGTTTGTTTTTTGCTATGGTGTGAATTTTCATTGATAAAAGGTGGTTCTAATCTATCACACTTTATAGATGCGTTACATGTTTCTTGCTCATGCAAACTGTATTAATCTATTTTATAATAGGGCCAGATAGTGGCAATAGAGGTTACATTTGGTCACAGTTAAGCTTCCATTTGCCTTTTGACACCATTATAGATCGGTTTTGGTAATGGTTGATGTGTGCCTCTTATTCAAGCCCATTTCCTTCCTCTATCATCTCACATTATCATTTTGGTTGTGGTGGGTGGATTGAGTGAAGTACTAATAGTAGTTGTTTAAATTACAATTTTTTTTTTTTGGTTAGAATATTTCTGCTATTTCATCCTTCTTTTTACTTATTTAGACTATTTAAAGTTTTATATTGAATATTTTTCTGATTGGAAGGTTAGGGATTGTGCATAAAGTTCAACTCTCTTTTAATTGTAGGAATTTCCAAACATATAGAAAAGGAATCCAGTTTTAACAGTCATCACATATGGCCAGTCTTGTTTAATCTTTTATCTTCCTCCTTCATTGCCTCCTCTCAACCTCAGACAATTTTAAAAGAAACTGTAAATACTGTATATTTTTTCATTGGGTAAATTCTTAAATGTGTCTCTAAATTATAAGGACTCTTTAAAAAATCAATGCCATTAGCACAATAAAAAATTAACAGTTTCCTATATCAACAAATATCCAATTAGTGTTCAAATTTCCCTAATTTTCTCAAAAATAGCTTTCTGCAGTTAGTTTTTCAAATCAGGATCCAACTAAACTCCATTATTTACATTTGGTTGAATTATCTCTTAATTCTGTTAATATACTACATCAGTTTCCCTTCCATTCTTTTTCCCTTTTGCCACTGATTCGTTAGGTCAGTTGTGAAATCAAGTATGTATCAAATTTAGGTTAAAGTTTTGACAAGGATACTTCATAAATGGTGACCAAGTTAGACTCTTGAATTGATTGGTGAAACTTATGAGTAGTACATGTCAACACTTTCTTCTTTTATTGCCCCAATTGAGTAAGATTTATTTCTCATCATGGTAATGATACTGAATAGCAGGTAAGAGGAAACAGATGCTTATACATAATGCTATTAAACATACCTTTAACAAAATTACTAATTCACTATTTTGTTTTGTTTTGTTTTTGTAATTAGCAACAATAGTAAAACAACAGGAATCCTTATTTGGCATAAGACTGCCAGACATAATCAGACTACACATTTTTAATTTTGCCTTCTGAGTCATTGGGTTAGGTGACGTTTCTGTCTACTTAGTGGTCTGGCCAACATTACTTTTCCTATTAAGGATGTTAAAATCCTTGTTGTTAATTTTATACTGAAAATAGTGTCAAAATCCATCTAATCAGAATCTAAGCTTGTAGATAATTTTTATGATTTATGTATAAAATATTTATAAAAATCTGGTATTGTCTTTCAAAATTTATTGTGAATGGTAATATGTCACATTTTCTCAATCAGTTAAGCCTTGTTTAAACTTTACAAATGAAATTTTTTTTTAAAAAAAGAATAGTTAATTGAAAAAGTACTCTTAAAATATATTGATTTGGGGCCTGACAACTTTATGAAAATAACTTACTTTTCTTTGACTATTTATTTCTCATAATGGTGAAAATTATGTGAAATATACCTCTTTCCAGAAAAAAAAAAACTAAGAATGTTGATATTTATCTCTATGGAAATGTTTTCCTTTTTTTGGTTGACTAATGAATTTTGAATCTGTTATTTCTTCATGTGTATTGCATCTATATATGTTATTGTTTTATTTATTTTAAAAATTTCATGGAAAATTGATTTATATTATTTCTAATTAAATTCCGTAATGCACTAATGCTATTTCTAATAATTGCCTATGGCTTAGCAGACATTTATGAATTTGTGGATTTTTTGTTATTGGTAAAGGGCAAGGGAGGATCAAACAATACAGCTCAGTGCCTAGAATGTTGAAATGATGTTAATTTCTGCTTTCTTTGTCCATGGGTCCTTCTATGTCCTATGGTTGAAAGAAATGTCCCAGCACTTTTGATATCTACTAATGTACTTGTTTCCTCTATGCATTTTCCAACGTGCCTTTTTCTGATATGGTTTCCTCTTAATAGCTTTTATGGATATTTTAAAATGATTCCTTAAATCTACCTCCTCCTACTGAGTAGTGGTTTTATGTTGGATAGAAAATAATCATCCATTATAAAATGGCAACTAAAGCTGTGTATTTACTAGAGCAGTGCTGATTTTGGTTCCTTTATTTGTTAAAAAAACGATGCACTGATGGTGATGTAAATGTTGCTATGGATTTTAAGACTTCATTACAAAAATTAACAGGAGGTAGACGGGTGGGTTTAGTGAGAGTGGAAAGTGGGAACATTTAACCTCTTGGTAAACCATCTTATGCTAGTCCCTCTGTCTTTGCAGATAAATTATTAGTCATAACGGTAGCAACAAAAGAAAGTGATGGATTCCATCGATTTATGCAGTCTGCCAAATACTTCAATTATACTGTGAAGGTACAGTATATCTTTTAATTCATGGAGGTGTTAGAATATGTGACTAAAGTACATTTTTTTAATAACAATAACAACAATACCACCACCACAGTTTGCAACCCACACAAGGGAGTTGAAATTTGGTTACATAGTTACTGAGTTTGTATATACAATTGATTGTTTTAAGGGTACATTTTGACCTTATTAATACTCTGCCACTTAGACAATAATTTCTTCATATTTGCTAATGCTTTGTATAAACACATTCCATAAAACAACAGAAAAATATGTTTATATATATGCTTCTTTTGAAGGGTCATAAAAAGCACAGCATAACAGATTTGACAGTAATGTTTTTCACTTACTTTGAAGAATTTTTTCTGTAATGGGTTTGTCTGTCATAGTCTGTTTCTTTGCTTACAGAGAATTGGAAACATGGCAGTGAGGGGAATACCTTTTCTGTCCCAGTACTGAGAGTTGCTCTTCCTGTTATTTGTTTTAGAGGAATTTGGGAACATTATAAAAGTATAAAAAGGTTTTTTAGAAGACTGACCTCCAGGGGAATATCTCATTGATAAATGATCAGAGGAAACCTGGGGACTTTGGTAGAATTAGTAAACTGAGTGTTAAAGGCCTGCCTTATTTATTTATTTATTTATTTTATAGAAATGAGGAACTGTCAGCCAAGTCTTTTACACAAATAAGAGGTGTATGGGGAGGTATCCCAAGTAGGAAAACAAACAAACCAACAAACAAACTGAACATTTACAAAAAAAAACTACCCCCCCTCAAAAAAAAACCCAAACCAACCAAACAAAAAACAACTTAAAAAAAAAAAGAGGGGAAGACTGTTTTGCTTAGGGAAAAACTGAGCTGTTCTAGTATGTAATGTAGAAAGAAGGTAGTATTCACTTACATAGCCCCTTGGAGACTAGGTACAGATGTTAACATAGAACAGCTATTAAGGAGGCTAAACTGCTGGAAAAGAGATCTAGTGTTAACAACCAGATGTTCAATGCAGGATAAATGAGAAATATGTTAGAAGTTTGTTAGGATAGAGGAAAAATATAGTAATATGTACTGTTAGGAGGCATGTGGAGGTAACAGAGAAATCAGGGTAAAATAATGCTGAATAATGCTGAAATCTAATAAGGGGGGATCTTTAGAGTTTGGACTGGGGAGAGTGTGGGATGTTCCTTATATGTGAAGCTGTTTGGAATTTTATATATTGTATGCTGTTGAAACCATATATGTTAGATATTACTTTGTTTCTAGGTAAAGAAAACTTGCCCCAGGGTATATAGCTATGAAATGTCAAATCTTGGACCAAGCCCATTTGAGTGACTCTTGCTGTCTTCCCAATTATGAAATGCAATAGTTCTTAAAGTGTGGGCCCCAGACCACCAGCATCAGCATCATCTGGGGAATTGTTAGAAAGGAGATTCTCAAGCCTGACATCAGACCTACTGAATCACAAACTCTGGCAGTAGGACCTTGCCAGACACAGTAGGACCCTGTATTTTTTTAAACATTTATTAGAGAGAGCATGAATGGGAGGAGCACAGGGAGAATCTCAAGCACACTCTTCACTGAGCACAGAGTCTGTTGTGGGGCTCAATCCCAGGACCCTGAGATCATGACCTGAGCTGAAACCAAGAGTCAGACACCTAACAGATTGTGCCACCCAGGCAGCCCAATGCAGTCTGTGTTTTAACAGACCCTCTACGTGATTCTGATGCATACTAAAGTTTGACACACTGATGGAGTGGAAAGAAAATAGAGAATAGAGCTTAGCATGCTGTACTGCACAGAGTAGGCTCTTGGATGTGGCTGAGTCTGGTATTACTGTGATATTGGAGAAATCCAGAAGGGTTTTGGAGTCGAAGTATTACAAATCACAGGGTCAGAGGAGGCCAGTTTTTAGGGCAAAAACTAATAATTCTACTAAATTAATAATTCTCCTAGACTAGCCCCAGAATGAATCCAGATACACATCAGTTTTGAGTTTTCTTGGTAGCGTTTATCCCCAATCTGCAGTAGAGGTGGTAATAAAGTAATAACTAGAGATCTGAGGCTAGGAGCCCCATGGGCTTTGCTAGCCAGGTTTGTATTTGGTTCAGTGTTTAGTGATGTTGGAGCTAATAGTATTTATTTTCTAATAAGCAACAAAACTAAAAGGCAACCTACTGAGTGGGAGAAGATATTTGCAAATGATATATCTGATAAAGGGTGAGTATCCAAAATATATAAAGAACTGATACAACTCAATACCCAAAAAAACAAATAATCCAATATAAAAAATAGGCAGAAGACAAGAACAGACATTTCTCCAAAGAAGGCATCCAGATGGCCAACAGACACATGAAAAGATGCTCAGCATCACTCATTATCAGGGAAATGCAAATCAAAACTACAATGAGGTATCACATCACACCTGTCAGAATGGCAAAAATCAAAAACACAAGGAACAGGAAGTGTTGGCAAGGATGTGGAGAAAAAGGAAGCCTCTTGTACTGTTGGTGGGAATGCAAACTGGTGCAGCCACTGTGAACAGTATGGAGGTTCCTCAGAAAATTAAGACTAGAACTACCCTACGACCCAGTAATTGCACTACTGGATTTTTACCCCCAAAGTACAAAAACACTAATTCAAGGGATACATGCCTCTCTATGTTTATAGCAGCATTATCTACAATCACCAAACTATGGAAGCAGCCTAGTGTTACCATGCACTTGCAATGTGGGAGGCAACTGAGGAGCCTAAGGCAAACAGTGAGGAGAACAGCTACAAGTTTAGCTTTGATTAATTGTGCTTAGGCAATTTCTTGCATTGATAAATTATTATTAAGCTTTTGAGAGTAATGTAAGATTTATAAGGTAAGGTAGGTGACATTTGACCTAATGTCCTCTGTCTTTCCTTGAACAACCCACTTGGTTCAGTAGGAAAATCACCTAAGGGCCCTGTCCAGGAGTTACTGAGCTTTCAGTGTTCATCATGCAGATTTCCTGCCAGATTGAAAAGTTATGGAAAGTTTCTGTATTTTCTTTTTCATTTTATCTGAACAAATAGAAATAAGATATGAGAAATATTGTCTGTACCCCCCCATACCCCTTGATCTCCTTAGATTAGACTCTACTTTTGAAATGGTAAAATTGGGAATGGCATTTTATGGGGTGGATAACATTGAAGAATCATGACCTGACCTATGCATCAAGTGTTTTTCTCTGTAGCATCGTGATTTCGTGATTTAGTGAAATGTTTAAAGAGTGGCTACTGTGTCATACTATACAAGTTGCTGATGACTTCTAGCTTTTATGATACTGTCATAACTTGAGTTTTGCTCAGTGATAAATGTTGATTTCATTTATAGGTCCTTGGTCAAGGAGAAGAGTGGAGAGGTGGTGCTGGAATTAATAGTATTGGAGGGGGCCAGAAAGTGAGATTAATGAAAGAAATCATGGAACATTATGCCAATCAAGAGGATTTGGTTGTTTTGTTTACTGAATGGTAAGAGAAATAATTTATGGATTTTTAAGTTTACATTAAATTATTTTTTAAAAGTGTCAAAATTCATATTTGCAGATTATATATTAAATTATTTTATTCTCAAGGAATTACTGTTTTAGAAAGTAGATTTTACTCATAATTATAAAACTATGGTCTGACATAATTATGTAATGGATTGAATCTGATGATTTACTGTAAGCAACAATGAGAAAACATGGCATGAGCTAGCATTTTTGTGAAATTCATGTTTTAATTCTAACTTGAGTTGGAAGAAAGATCATGTTGAGCTTTTCTATTGAGGAAAGTAATTCAGTGGATCCTGGTCAACCAGAAAGAAACAGATCGTGAGAAGTTATAAGTGAGACATGAGAAAGCCTATTTTTTAAAAAGAAAAGCCTTTCTCATGTATGAATATCTTTTTTTGTATATTGTTTTACTTTTCCTTCTACTTAATTTTGAGTGTCCACTGTCCTTTTTTACCTTCTTTCAGCAAGTTTTTATAATGTCAGGTTATAATGAGTCATTAGGGGTTGCTACCTTCTCTTCCATTTTTTCTACCTTTTTATTTTTTGTCCTTGATTGCTCATTTCAAATCTTGTGCTTTCCTCTTAACTTAGGAAAGATTACTTATATTTCTTCCTCAATTTGAAAATCCAACACCATAAATTACTGTAGATAAAAGTAAGGGTAATGCTTTTTATGCAAGTATATAAGTAAGAAAGGCATAAATTTTGAAATGAAAATAGACATAATGAAGTCCTGGTGCCATCAACCATTAAAAGTTGAGAGGGTCTGTATACTTGCTTCTTTAGAATTTCCCTAATGTCACCCAGGAAAGAAATAAAGTTCTGCTTATAGCTAACCTGTTCTTGAACATGAAATGTGGGATAGCTGTTGTCAGCTTGTGTACCAGGGATTTTTCTGCAGAATCTATTATTATATATTTTTTTATCCTTGAAAAAAGAGTGGGAAGCTCATAATAACTGTTCAGATTAAATATTGAGTATGTTTTGGTTTAAAATTACCGTGGATTTCAGACGAGATCGGGCGCGTTCAGGGTGGTATGGCCGTAGACTAAAATTACCGTGGATTTCAAACAACCATTTTGGTCAGCTTGAACTTGCCACACATACGTTTTGATTTTGACTTTGAGGGAAATTCTCCTTGTAAAAGTTACCACATATATGCCAGTAATGGTTTTAGACACCCAAGCCTCCTTTTGTGTTTTCAGAAGAACCTCTTAACCTCTACCTTTACCCTCTTGCCCCATTCCACCTCCCCCACCCCCACTCTAAGATTTAGCCTTAGGAGAAACTGATTTAATTAGATGCCAGTTGTTTCTCTTAAGAAAAGGGACACTTTGAGATATCTGAAAACTGCTTGAGATTGCATTTGTTTATTTAGATGATATGTTAAGATCCAGCTTGACAAAAAAGACAACAGTAAGATTTATATGAGGGGGGAGAAGGGCAGAGGGCGAGGAAAAGAGAGTCTTTTTTAAAGATTTTATTTATTTATTTGAGAGAGCGAGTGCGAGAGCACAAGCAGGAGGAGAGGGAGAGGGAGAAGCAGACTCCCCGCTGAGCAGGGAGCCCGATCTAATTATTATTATATAGTAAACAGGTTTTTTTTCTTTCTTTAGAATAATGTATAGGCCAATATGTAACAGAAAGTGTTTTATTATGAGTAAATTAGATACAAATTGAATATCTCCACAAGCCTGTTCTGTACTAGATACAGTAATTTATAAACCAGCAGAGTCCAGACCCAAAATAAGCATGTGGTAGAATGCTTTTTTTGGGTATCACATTAATGTCTAATAAAAACTTTGGTTATTTCTTTTATTCTTTTTCTTTTAGACTTAAGAAAATTCTTTAGAAGAAAAGTAATTAGAAATAAAGTTGGTATAAATATTTGAGTTTGAATTTGGACTGAGCAGAAATTTCTATTTTTTTGGTGATGTTGAATATAATGCCAATAATCAGAATGCAGATGTGCTACATTTTGAAAGACTCCCAATATATGAAATATTTGAAAGACATATTTGGTGCTGCTTATTGGACTCACCAAAAAGTAATATTTCCTCAATGAAAATATCTACCCAAGGATTTTGGTAGATAGAGACTCCTCAGTTCATTTAAGTATTTGTTTAAATATGATTAACTATATGACTTTGAGGTAAGATAAAGGAATTGACTTTGCAGTTTATAAGCTCTTGCTATCTAATGATAGCAGTAAGGAAGACTGAACTTAAAAAACTAGAATGGTAGTCAATGCTACAATACAAAAGCCGATATAGAATTAAAATGAATATAAAGTAAAGCCATTATTATAGTAGTTTTCTAGTTGGCTCTGGTCTGGGGATATTGATCGAGGATAAGTAATACTGGTTGAAAACGCAGGAATAATCTTAGTTATACAAATCTTTTCTGTTAATGTATATGTCTTACCACTTGTATATTGCTAGCTTCCATTCACTTATCATGTTGGATTCCAATTGTCCTTATTCCTAGACAGTGAAGCTGGGGGATGTACCTGACTTAAATATTGTCTGCGTAAATAGCAAGGTATCAATAAATATTAGGTAACAGAAACTTGCATTAAAAGAGCGAGAAATAGATCTTACAAGAGGAGAAATATGGTGGATGTTTTGAAACTGTTTTTAATTTTGTTTTAAGATTTACTTATTTATTTTAGAGAGAGGGTAGGGGAGGAACGAAGAGGACAGCCCGAAGCAGAATCCCCGCTGAGTGCAGAGCCCAATGTGGGGCTCGATTCTACAACCCTGAGCCAAAACCAAGAGTCAGCGCTTAACTAACTGAACTACCCAAGTGCCCTGTAACTGTTTTTATAAGATTGATTTTCTTCATTCATTTAGAGAAATAAAAGGATTTATAAAAGTAGGAAAGCATCCAAATTTTCTAAATCTCAAAGTTTGAAATCATTAGAAAAACGAATTTTGATTGTCAGAAGCCATGAAAATGATGCTTCTGATCTTCCAGATGTAGGCCAATGTTTCTTTTTTTGACTCCTAACTAAATATTATTTTGCTGAGAAAGTGAGATCAGTGGACAGATTTTTTGCTTTGCATTTGGTACACATGTCTTGAGCAAACCATGATCCAGGCATTAAACTTAACCCTTCAAAAGAAGAGATAAACATAGATCCCACACTCAAGGAATTCTCATATTATACTAATTTTGCAAATAAAACTGAACAGACCTAATTTGAAAGACATAATATGTCTTCAAAAAAGTTTGGATGTTAAAAAAAATTCATATGTTGGCATAATCTCTTTAGAATCATTTACTTTTAGAAAATTGTCAAAGGTTATGTTTTACTGAATCGTTTTGGTAATTGTTTATAAAAATATTTTTATGATTTTATTGTTATTGTCATAAATATAATTTATGTGTATTCATTTTATAGATAACCAGATCCTATCTATTTTATTCCGTGAAATAAATATTTTATACCTTTCATAGTTCAGGTTACATACCCAGTATGCCTGCATTTTATGTTGTCTTATATAGTTTATACAGAAGACAGAATAAAAATTTTCTGAAAGCAAAGCTTTTCAAGTATGATGGCTATAATTTTAACCAACTATGGCAGATTTATTTGATGGACTCCTCCTTCCTGTCAGTGATGACAATTTAAGTGTGCAGACACAAAGAACCTATTCATTAGCAATGGACAACATTTCATTATATTAGTATGAAGGAAGGCCAAAATACATCAGAGTTCTTAGTTTCAGTATTGCTTTTTTCTTTTTTTCCTTTTTTGAAGGAAAGATTGAAATCCTTAGCTGTCACTTAAATATATTGTACTGCCTTGGCTCATCCAGAATAGTCTGAAATATGTTTAGGAATCATGTAGGAAATGAGTGACTTTTGTTTTTTTCAAATTGTTCAAATGTTCTTGTTAATATTTACTGAATATATTAGTGGGTATGTTGGAATGAGGAAGAAATAAATTGTATACAAAAGAAGCATTGGATGTATATATATGTATATGTGTATGTATTATCTGTTTATCTATCTGTAGATTGATATATGATACTCTTATATGGCATTACTTTGTCTGACTGTGTATGTATGTGTACAAATATATGTGTGTGTATATAGTGTATAACATATATATATATATAATTTTTTTTCCAGACCACATTGCCTACTCCTTAAAGTTTGTTCTTTTGAGTAAACATGTATTAAGTATCTGTTATGTGCAAAATATGGTGCTGGCCCCTGTGGTTGGAACTGGAGTTGGGGAAAAGGGCTGAGTGGGACAGAAATCTTGCCTGCTGGATACGTTTTTCTATCCATAGCTCTGTATATGTTGTATCTAGCATGTCGTAGCTGCATAATCACAAGTTTGGAGGATTTTTAAAAGTTTTTTTAATTCCCCCATTGATTTACTGAATACTTACTGCGTATTAAATATGTGTCAGATTTAAAAGTTCTCATGTTGCAGAGATAAACGTAACTATTATTTAAAAGTAGAGGGAAATTTTCATTTAATTAACCACCTTTTGACTATTTTCCTAATAAGGAGACTGACCCAGAAACAACAAGTGCTGGTGACTCGTGGCCCCACAGGTAGCTAGCAGCTTGAGCAGTTTGATGTCTTGCCACCATTCCCGTCTTGACTGCCTTCTTCGTTAGGTGTTACGTAGCGCTAGCCACTCAGAAAACAATCTGGCGAAAATGACTCTCCAGCTCGGCAGTGTCCTCATTGACTCCTACCTCTACCCAGCCTCAGTAAGAATTCTATACAGGAAATGAAAGTCTATACCATTTGGAGGAAAAAGCCTCCCAGTAATATTTAGTTTTTAAAGTAGTACCCACTTTTTAAGAGCTAATTCCTACCCCTTCCTTCAAAATTCTTACAGAAACCTTATCATTTTATACTGTGATTTTATTGTAATTTATTTTGCAAGTTCAACTGGGTCAATGTTGTTTAAAAAATATTTATTTATTCTTTTTAAGTAGGCTCCACACCCAATGTGGGATTAGAACTCGTGACCCTGAGATCAAGAATCGCATGCTCTACTGACTGAGCCAGCCAGGCGTCCTCTGGTTGACCGTTTTAACTGCTTGTTTTTTTCAGGGGGAGGGGAGAGTGGTTTCCCTAGTACTGGTTTGTGCTATTATCTATAGAAATAAAGATACGTATTTAAGGTGAAGACATGATTACAGACAAAAACATCAGGTGTGTTGCTACTTGTGTGCTTCAGTTTCATTAGACTTTAAGCTTTTAAACACTAGCTGCTAAGAGTTTGGATGATTATAACTCTTGGCTTAAGTTTGTGTCAGTGATGATGAAGAAATTGTTGGATTGGGGAGGAACAAATAAATAAAATTAGGGAACACTTCTGTTGCTTTCTTTTCTGGCTACCCAATAGCTTTTGCTTCTTGTTAAGACTGGGGATGACTCAGTCATTCATTTATTTATTCATTCATTTGTTCAACAAATATTTACTGACTATCTTCAAAATACAAGGCTAGGGGAATACACAGATGAATAAAGATGTGGATCTGGCCCAAGAAGGAAGAACAGGCAGTCTAGTATAAGATAGGTATTCCAAGCATGAAGAGCAAGAAATAAAATGTTTCATGAAAGGGGAAACGAAAAGAGCTGTGGGAGTTAAAAGGAAGGAAATGATCTTTTCCATTTAGGCTGATCCACTAGAAGTTTTTAGAAGAGGTGAGACTGGAAATGGGCCTCAAGAGTGAATGGTGTGTACCCAATTGAGAAAAGATGTGCTAAGCAGATGGAACATTATGAGTAAACACAGATGACAGATCAAATAATTCAGTCTGGTTTCAGAACAGGTTATTTAATGGAAAGTTATTATTGTGATGCTGATTAATTTAGACTTTATTCCAAGGTCAGGGATTGGTAAACCATGGTCTAGCCTACTTCTTGTTTTTAGAAATAGTTTTATTGGAACACAGCTATGTCAATTGCTTCTGGCTGCCCTTGCATCACAACAGCAGAATTGGGTCCTTGTGAGGGAGACCATATTGCCCTCAAAGCCGAAAGTATTTTCTGTAAAAGACTAGATAGTAAATATTTGTAGAGTCCTGCTCTAGACCTAGTGGAGAACCACTGATCCAGTCTGGGAACTGGAATGGTTTCCAGAGGAGTTTATATTAGTCAGTCCTTATCAGAAGTGGGGTGGAGGTAGGTAATGTGGGGGCTTGTAGGATTTTTGAATTAATCTTGTCCAGTGTCTTCTAGAAAGAGTGGAGAGGATTTGAATGCTAAATAGATTAAGTAGATGGAATCAATAGGATTTGGTGAAATATTTGATGAGAGATGCTGTAGAAAAAAGGAAGGAGGCAAGGCTGGAAGAAAGATTTTCAACTTGCATGACTGGGTGGTTGATGGTGCCACAGAAACCGGGAACACAGAAGGACAAACGCTTGTAAAATTTGAATGACCTGTTGGAGATAGAACGCTGACATGTCTGTTAGAGAACTCAATGTGACCACATCAGGTGGGACCTTATGCTTTTTGCAGGACCAGGAATATTTACCAGAGTTAACTATGGAAAATTTTATTTTATTCTTCATATTTAAATGGACCAAACTCCTATGAGAATTATTTTTGTGACCATTGTGCATTTTTTAAAAATTTGATTATTCAGGTTGTTGTGGCCAAAGTAATTTTAAGTAGAAAAACTTTCTCCCCTTTGAAAAGTTTTAAATCAATTTAGAGAACTTTTCTAAAGTACTTAAACACAGAAATGACAATGCCGCTAAAATACGATGGGAAAGTTTTAGCAACCTTAAATTTTTATTCAGTCAAATTCTTACTTAAATTATGTGAACATAATTTTTGCCTTTATATTTTGCTTTAAAATAATTGTTTTTTTGTTATAAAGGTAATGCATACTTATAAACTACTAAGTCATGAAAGTAGAAGTTGCTACAAATCCTCCTTTTCAAGCTACTGCCTTTTGCTAATAGTTTGAGACATACAGCATAGATACTGTACCCCTTCACTAGGGTTATAAAGACAGAAAATATTCACTTTCCAAATGTGCATTTATACCGCTGAAGACGCAATGCTACCTGCAAAATTTCTGAACCAGTTGGCCTCAAGTCTCCAATCATGTGATTCTCTGACATAATATATAGCCCTTTTTTCCATGTCCAGACAATGTATTGGGGTTCTTCTGCAACTTGCAGGGCAATCTCTGTCTCAGAAGGTTTGATTTATTTTCCTTGCCTCTATGGCTCAATTACCCTTGACACTGGTCTACTTTCCTAATCTTTAATGTTAAAAAGAATATATCAACAACTAGTAGTCTTAAGGAAATTACCCCTGTTAGAAAAGAGGATGGATTACCTTAGTAGGCAGAAGTCTAAAGTGGTCATACTGAGGAGTTAAGTAGTACTTGTTTATAAGAAAAAGAAGAAATTGATATATTTTTATAAATATTATTTTGTGTAGTCAGGTTAATTCCATTTTTTAAATCAACAGGGAAAAATTAGTTTGAGGTTTTAGTCAGAACACATTTTTTCTGATTTAGAATTTATCTTAACACATGTGTATATAAAAATAAAAATTATTTTAAACTACAGATTGGTATAAACTTAAAAGTGAGTTTTCCTCCTGCCTCTCCCATTACTGCAGTCTCTCTCTTCTGGTAACAATAATGTTAATTTTTAGCTTCATTGGATGTTTATAATGTGCCATGTATTTTTTCTTAATTTTTAATTTTTTTCAATAACTTGATAAGTTCTCCCCTCCCCCATTTTCTACATAAAGAAACTGAAACATAAAGAGTTTAAGTAACTGGTTTAAGGTTACTCAGATAGCTCATGGCAGAACTGAAATTAAAAACCCAACTAGCAGACTTTAAATTGTATGTCCTGAGTCTCTTTATGGTTATGTTATTAATAGTATTAACAGAAGCTTGCCAATTGATTCTGGAAGAAAGAAAAAGCTATGTACCAAAATGTTGTATATATAGATATGTTTTAATTTTGAGGTAATATTTTCTATAACTGAAGAAAAAACAAATCATAAAATTTAAATCCTCTAGAACAATATAAAATGAAATAGTCTGTCTCTCTGATCCCAACCTTATTTTTACTTTTTAAAAAAATTGGCTGGGTACAATTACTAAATTTAGTTGCACATTAGTAATATTTTAACTCTCTTAGTTTGGCTTTAAGATTCAGAAGTGGAGTATATGGTGAGGGTGTGTGTATGTCAAGTATTTTTTACTTGGGAGGTGTAGTTCACCATGAAAGGGAAAGAGAGGGAAGGAGCAGAGGGCAAGCAACTTCTTTTTAAAGTACAGGACCTGGAGATTAGAGAAGCACACCAGTCCCACTCACATTCTACTGGACAGACTTAATCATGTGGCCACATCTAGCTTCAGAGTAGTCTTTAGCAGGATGGCCATGTGCCCGGTTAACACAGGGGGATTCCATTATTCAAATAAAGGCTCGGGAATGTATATGGAGGCTCAGTTAGCATCTCTTCCACAAGAATAAACTTGCAGTATTCTTGCTAAAGTAATTTTTACAACTTTGTGTGGTTTTTACTTTTATAAAGATGAGCAATAGTGTGTTTTATTTTGATAAAATAATTCATATATAGAAAGTTATTAAATCTTGCCTGATGCAGTACTATTCTCCTGGCATATTAACAAGCTCTTTGAGAGCAAGTGTGGCTGGGAAAGGAATGTGGGACACCTCCTTCCTCCTCCACTCACATCTCCCAGCAGTGCATCTGGACTATCGGCTGTTAGGAAGACTTGGTGCTGAATTTGTGAACATTAGTTTGTTCTTATTGTTTGCTACCTGGGATGTTAGGTCAATAAATTATCGTCTTTAGAAACTTTTGGACTTGAGGTACTCTGATGTGAAAAAAAAAGGATGCAAAACAATTTGTGTTTGTAACAAGAATAAAGAATTTATTGCAGAGTGGAAGCATATCAGGTAGTGGATTTTACACTTCCTATTTGGCTAAGTCATTGTCATTCTGTGAATGAACAATGAGCAATAATGTCTCCAGAAAAATCAGTGAAACCATAGACATTATAGTGTCAACTTTTAGACTTTTTTTCCCAAATTTTTTGAGCTTTAAAAAGATGCACTTGTCTAAACACTTTTATTTTTAAGATTTTAGGCTAAACAATGATTCAAATATAAATTTATATAGGTGACATTTAGTAGTCAAACACATTTTGTCAAAGATAATGAAATCTTCAGAAATTTTAATGGATGGGTACAAATTACATTGAAACATTAGGCAGTTATAATGGCAGCTTCTGTCAATGACTATGTCTTTATTATTAAGTTATATAGTGAGTTATTGACTTTTTAACCTTTCAACACTGCTTTAGCATTTTGATTTGGGGGGATACTAAGACTAGTACTAAAAAAGTTGTCTTTATTTGGACTTCATTTGCCAATATAATGTAAATATGAATAATTTAGTACAATCTATATAATTTAACGAGGGAAAATTGTTTGGAGTATTCTGTAAATCATTGGTATTAATCTTAGGTTGATGCTGAATTCTAACTTTATTAGTGACTATTTCTTGGTTTATGTGCCTAAATTCTGACAAGTGTATTTTAAAACTTCTTTTTCCCCCCTCATTAAACAGCTTTAATGTCATATTTGCTGGTGGTCCAGAAGAAGTTCTAAAAAAGTTTCAAAAGTCAAACCACAGAGTGGTGTTTGCAGCAGATGGAATTCTGTGGCCAGATAAAAGACTAGCAGACAAGTATCCCATTGTGCACATTGGGAAACGCTACCTGAATTCAGGAGGTGGGTAAGATACTGGCAGAGGAGTTTAATGCTAGTCACAGAAAATTATAAAGATTGATGAAACAACCTTTTTTTTGGTATATGTAACTATAGACATGAAGCTTTAAATAACCATTATCATCTTATTACTATGAAAAAATTATATCAGTTTAGAATCCATGGTGGGTTTTGTAGTTGACAAAAGATTTTCCACATGTCATATCATATGATGCTCCTAACAAAACTAAGTGGTGTAAATATTATTTCCAGATTATAAGTGGAAAATCCATGTTCCCCCAATTTAAGTGACTTTTCGGGTCTTCTGACTATAGTTTCATTGAGAATTTTCTGGCTATAGGATAATGGGGTTAGTAAGTTCCCTTACTTAGGGGGAACTAATTATGTAGCTATAAAAATAAGCATTACTTAATTTTATGTATATTTTAAATATATCAGAGTAAATGAGTGATTTGTCTTGAAATCACTAGTCAAAAAGCTCGGCACTGAGTGGGTATAAAGTGCTGCATTAGTTTTAATAATGGATTAAAGGAACAAATTATCACATTTCCCCTCTCCAAAAAATAAAATAAAACTTGACTTTGGACATTATTATGACTCCAAAATGTTTTCCTTAGACTGGATTAATGTAAACGTATGACCAGAAGACATAACCAAATAGGATGGGGGACATGTTAGAAAAACAATTTGGGTGGAAATTGCAAGCCACATTGGGAAAACAAATTTTGGGGGGTGATTTGCATGTATATAACTGATACTATTCAGTCTAGTTCAAGTAAGTACTACTTGAGGTAACAGCATTTTTGGATTCTAGGCTCTGCTCAAGTCACTTATAAAAATGAAACCTTTAGCAAGTAATATAATTTCTCTGAGGTGCCTCAATTCCAGCTCTATTTACCTGCAATATATTTTAGCAACCCATTACTGTCATTGTACCTTGGAGCTTTGTCAGCACATTATAAATACTGCACTTCTGAAACCTTAAATTCCAGTTTGTATTGCCTGGTTTCAGCTCACTTTTTCTCTCCATCTCAAGATAACCACAGTTTATCATTTGGGAGATCTCTTGACCATTTTATTTTTCTCCCAATCTATCTACCACCTTTGGATTTTACTTCCACATTCAAGTCAGAACCTAGGTTTTCTCAGATTGGTCACTCTGACCTCATCACCTTAGCTGTCTTTTCCTCTTACATTTACAGTTTATGCGCTGATGAAGCTTCCCCTAAGATTGTTTCCCACTCTTGACGTCTCTGTCTGAACCCTCATTTATGGATTGGTGCAACTTCTACTTCCAAACTGTCAGGTTCTCAATAACACATGGCTAGCTTTTAACTTATCTGAAGTCCTAGATAGTTTAAAAACCATTTAGCTATGGACCTCTGGGAGAAGTTTTATTTTACATTTATTAATTTTCCTAAACATGACATATGTAGTAAAATGCCATATGTAAATTCATCTAGATAGTGATATATCTATTCAGCAATCTAAATTTCAATCAGATGCACAGTGCTGTGGAAACAGCAGAAGACTAGCAAGTGAGTGCCTTTGTGAGTTAGTTTAATTAAGGAAAAGGTGCTTTTAAGTGGGAAAGAGATCATATAAGGACATCAAAACATGATCTTTGCTTTCTGTAGTCATAGTAATTAAAGTGATGCTAGGAAATCTAAATATATTCAATAAAGGTTTATATAATTTCATGAATGGTATATTGACAGTTATTTAAGGGACAAGAGTTTTGTTTATGATTATATCATTTAGTTTAAAAAAATTTATCATGGAAAGAAAACATGTTTCCTAATCAGGAAAATTTCAGAATATTATAAACTTTATTAGTTTGAAATAATATGGCAGTTTAATAAAAAATATAAATCATATGAAATATATCTCACATACTTTGAAATAGATGAAATTTCTTTTCATTTTTGAAATAGATTTATAAAAAGGATAAGGAAACATAATTTTTGAAAAACAGAAATATAAGCCATTGGAAAATGTCATGTGTCACTATTTGGACATATTTTTCATCACCGTAGATGGGTCATAGGAATTAAAAATGTGCTATTTTTCAGTGTTTTAGGATTTTTTAATTTGATGAAAATAACAAAAATGAGCAACCAGTGATTGGTTTAAGTATGTTTTCATTTTGTCTTGTTTCCTCTAGGTAACTGTATTATTCCTGGACTTATTTCTTTTCATTCTTTTATTCCTACGAGGAAATTTTAATTTTGAGGGTAAAAAATTAGGTTTTCTTTCAATTCACAGGAGTAACATTGGTCCTTTTTTAAAAGTATTGCATGTCAGTGAAACATAGCAGCTTGGCTGCATTTCTGAAATGCAGAGGAAGATTGAAAAAGGGGGAAAATGATCCTGTTGTCTGTGTCTTTTATAGACAACTGTTATTGGCAAATTTAATGCTTATGCTCGAAGGCCAAGGAGAACAATCCAATTTTAGACTTCCTTTCTCCAGACTGTGACACACAAAATCTGGCCAGAAAATGGTTTAGCAGGTACAATAATGACTAGTTCAAGGAAAGGAAAAATTCCCAAAATGTCCTAGATATAGAATTTCTTTGAGATGTTTGCAGTCAGTGACATTTCCAACATTCCTTTGATTTTGTTAGCATCACCGGCACTGACATTAAAACCACTGTAGTAGAGATTTTTTTTTCCCCCAGAAACAGTGAATCCTCTCCAAAGGATCCAAGAAAGAGCATTTTAGAAGGTCAGGAAGAAAATTCTTCTGTCTTACTCTGTTCTTTTCCTAGTAACTTTTTCCCTTAGGAGCCTTGGCAAACATTATTCCCTCTCTTGTGTCGATTAATTTGGGGAATGTGTTTATTCAAAAAGAGTCTCTGATTTGTAGTTGGTGGTAAAAACTCACTCTATTATAGTTTATATATAAAACAAAGGATGCTCGGGTGCCTGGGTGGCTCAGTTGGTTAAGTGACTGCCTTGGGCTCAGGTCATGATCCCGGAGTCCTGGGATCGAGTCCCACATCGGGCTCCCGGCTCGGCGGGGAGCCTGCTTCTCCCTCTGACCCTATCCCCTCTCATGCTGTTTTTCTCTCTCTCTCTCTCTCTCAAATAAATAAATACATAAAATCTTAAAAACAACAACAACAACAACAAAGGATTCTCAATAACATTTCTTTCATGGTGAGCTGTAAAATTCCAACCTAAGGATTAGGCCTAATGGCTTTACAACTCTGTGCAACTGGTCAGTGGAATTAATAGATACACGTTTTGGTCTTTGACTACTAAATTCTCTAATCTCTATTATATTGCAGGATTTATTGGTTATGCTCCGTATATCAACCAGATAGTTCAACAGTGGAATCTCCAGGATAATGATGATGATCAGCTATTTTACACCAAAATTTACATTGATCCACTGAAGAGGGTATGGAATAGCTCCCATTTTCAATATAACCTCCTTGTTTAAGATGGCTACTGGAGCTCCAGCCATTGCATCCATATTCTAGGCAGTTAACAGCAGAATAGTAAATAAAGGGCCATCTCAGTTGAATCAACTCTCTTTAAATAACCTTTTTAGAAAAAAAATTCTCTTACTTTTCTTTGACCAGCACATATTTATGTGGCTATTCACAATATGGAAAGTAAGTGTTGGCTTTTATTTCAAGCAGAAACATCCTACTGAAAATCTGAGTTCTATTATTAAGGAGGGGATGTAGGGAACAATAGCTGTGTTATCGGCCCTTGAGAGAACATTCCTGAGATTGATTTAAATGAAACTTGGGAGAAAAGTAGAACCAAAGTTCCCTAATTTGAGAATATTTTTAGTATATTTACATAATGTAAGTTAATGTTTCATAAATTCACTGTATGTAACTGATATAGTTTAGAACTGATATAGTTCTAAAATGTACTAAATTGTATAATTTGTGGGTACTGTTATTGGAAACAAGTTTTTTAAAGTATATTTTACGGTGAGTTTGCAACTGTAACTTTCTATTCTTTAGATAAATATTTCAGTCATCTAAATATTTTCATTAGACACTTAATACTGAAGAAACTTTATTCTTAAAATGTTTTTCTTCATCTCCATTTCTTGCTTTCCCTCTTATGTGCCTGACAGAGCAAACCTGAGGACTTGCTCTTTCATCTGGGAGGAGAAACCCTCTGTTGGCATGAGTGCTAGTGCATGCAGCCTCATGCTTGTCTTTCTCAGTATAATTCAACTGTGAATGTACTTTGAGTCATATTTAGTTGTCTCTGCTTCAGGATGCATTCTCTGAACTCTCACTGCTGAGTTCATAATATTTTTAGTTGTATAAATCCTGTTTAAGATTCTTTCAAGACTCTGGACTCTGGGAAACAAACTGAGGGTTGCAGAGGGGAGGGGGTTAGGATAGGGTAACCTAACCGGGTGATGGGTATTAAGGAGGGCATGTGTTGTGATGAGCACTGGGTGTTATATGTAATTAATAAATCATTGAACACTATGTCAGAAACTAATATATTGGCTAATTGAACTTAATAATAATAAAAAAAAGATTCTCTGGAAGGCTAAGATTTTATCTGGTTAACATGTATCCTAGTCTGTTTGGTTTGTCATAACAAAATACCATAGACTGGTTGGCTTAAAGAATAGAAATGCATTTCTCACAGTTCTGGAGGCTGCAAGTCCTAGATCAGGGCGCCAGCATGGTTAATTTCTGGTGAAGACTCTCTTCCTGGCTTGTAGGTGACAGCCACCTTCTTGCTGTATCGTCTCATGCTGAAGAGAGAGAGACACAGAGACACAAAGACACACACACACATACACACAGAGCAAGAGAGTGTGTGTACAAACTCTCTGGTGTCTCTTCTTATATGGGCATTAATTCTGTCATGAGGACATCTCATGACCTCAGTTTAACCCTAATTACTCCCCAGAGGCCCTGTCTCCTAATACTATCACATTGTGGGTTAGGGCTTCATATGAATTTTGAGGGGACACAAACATTCGGTCTCTAACAATATACAAAGTCAATTTTAAGAGTATTATTATACAGAGAAATGTAGCCGAAAAACTGGTGCATTGAGAATCATGAAGTTTGTAAAGCAGATTAATCTTTATGGTTATGTTAATTACATATCTATTGTAGCAGTCGGATTGGGGATTATACTGTAATAATAACCCAAACCACAAGAGCTTAACACAACACAGGTCGGTTTCTCCTGCTACGTGTCCATTGTAGGTCAGCAGAGGGTTTCTGCTTACTGTCCTCACTTGGGACCCTGGCTGATGGAGCAGCCATCTTAGTTCATGTGCCAGAGAGAGAGCACACCTAGCGTCTCAAACTGGAAGCTCCATGCTCCAGGTTAGAAGTGAAATAATTTCACCTCTGCTAAAAATTCACTGGTCAGAATTAGTCATAAGGTAGGGAAGTGGAAATATTTGGAGAATAGCATGAATACTTTGCCATTCCCTTTATCCTTTAATTCAATCAACTATAAAATTACAGTCTTTCTGTCTTTCTGAGGAATATTGCTGGAATAATTTACAAATAGGATCTTTAAATTCTGCAAAAGAATAAACTATATTAACGTGATAGTGTTGTTTGCATATTGTCATTTTCAATGGTATCTGTATTCTCATTTTTAGGAAGCTATTAACATCACATTGGATCACAAATGCAAAATTTTCCAGACTTTAAATGGAGCTGTAGGTATGCTTCCTAAATACTGAATTGCTCATGTATACAAATGAACACCTGTGTTCTCAACTGTCTGTCCTTTATCATATCAATTTGGGGCTATGATTAAGGTTTAGTGTACAGATATTGCAACTTTTAAAAAATAACGGACTTGAGCTTAGCTTGATATAGTGAAACGCATTTACTTAAAATCATGTCCTAAGACTAGTGCAAAAAAAGATAAGCTTCTAGCTTTAGGTAATTTAGAATTTAGTGTCTCACCATCTGGAGACTAGATGTATTTTTAAATTACCTATACCTTATTATTACACATTTTTCAGTATAAGTTCTTTATATTGTGAATTACTCAGGAGTATGAGTATTAGACTACTTTACCTAGCTGAAGATAAACTGGTAACCAGGCACATATACTGTGGAATGTGTGTGTGTGTATGTGTGTCTGTGTTTTGTGTGCATATGCATGTATGCCTTTATGCTTTTTCCTAGTTAGACATATGTCTTGGAAAAAATATACTAATACATCAATTAATTAATATATTAAAAATAAAAAGACATTAATTCATTAATGCATTAATACCTTAAACATTAAAAATACATTGCAATTCAGTCCAACTCTTCAAGGCAGTTCATACCTTAAAAATTTCTCAGGATGAAAGCATTTAGTTTGGAGTGCTTAGGAAATGCGAAGAAAGGAACTGGAAAACAACAACAAAAACACCCAGCTGTTTCTGCTCCCACTTGATTTGTGTATTCCTGGAATTGGCATTAGGCCTGATTTTCAAGAACTGGCAATGCTCTCAATGATAGCTGATGGTGGAGACCTTGCTTATATCTGGCAGTGTTCTATTCACCATATTTATATTGTTATTATCATCATAATAACTTTGAAAGGCAGGCAAAGATCCCATTTCACAGTTGAATAAATTCAGACAATAATTTAATTCATCCTGGATCACATTACTATCAAGAGTCCTTGGAGGCAGGTTTGCAGAGATGCTTTCCTTCTGCTAGACACCTCAGTGGATTAGCACCTCAGTTCGCTGGTGCCAGGTTGGAGTGACTGAGGTGCTCTCTGATGTAGCATAGGCAAAATTTGTAAAAGTGTTGTGGCACGTGGAATGGCATTTGTGGGAAATTTTATAATAACCAGAAGATAAATATAAATGTACACATATATGTGTGTATATGAATACACACACATTTTAAATTACTAAAATCTGTTTTTTTTTTCTTTTTAACCCAGATGAAGTTGTTTTGAAATTTGAAAATGGCAAAGCCAGAGCTAAGAATGTATTTTATGAAACATTACCAGTGGCAGTTAATGGAAATGGACCCACCAAGGTGAGTCACAGTGACTTTTCCCTGTTTCTTTATTTCTTGGAAATAGACTCTAGAGCAATATGTAGAATATCTTCTTCTATTCCTCCTCCTTTACCCCCATCCCTCCCCTCCTTCACCTTCTCCTCCTCCCTTCTTTTTTAGTGTCTTTGAGAGGCTCTATTTTGGTGCTAGCAATCTACTGGCTTCATCTTTTACACTGTAGATTGAGTGGTTTCTTTCAGATTCACCAAACTAATGATGTTTCCTAAGCAAAGTGATACCTTTGCATTCTGTTGGTAACACTTTAGCGTTTAATAATAACAGCGAATGTGAGAATGAGCCATATTTCCCTCATACAGGGTATCCTATCTGAATAGGAAATGTGCAGGTCTGTAAGTCACCATTTTCTCACTTAACAGCTCTGTTGAGATTGAGATGTAACTATATGGCTGGAAGCTTCTTCTTGTACTTATCTTTTTCTTTTAGATTTGATGTTTAATTTTTTATTTTTTAAATTAACATATAATGTATTATTTGTTTCAGGGGTACAGGTCTGTGATTCATCAGTCTTACACAATTAAGAGCGTTCACCATAGTACATACCCTCCCCAATGTCCGTCACCCAGCCACCCCATCCCTCCCACCCCCTTCCACTTCAGCAACCCTCAGTTTGTTTCCTCAGATTGAGTCTCTTATGGTTTGTCTCCCTCTCTGCTTTCATCTTGTTTCATTTTTCCCTCCCTTCCCCTATGATCCTCTGTCTTGTTTCTCAAATTCCTCATATCAGTGAGATCATATGATAATTGTCTTTCTTCTTGCACTTATCTTATACGAAGGTTGCTGGGTTATAATTGACAAAGACTTAATGTGACTAATGAAATTTTGGATGCTTTTCAAATATATATAATTGAGCTTGCTGAAAATGTTATTGAGTGAAAAATTCATAGATAAGTTTGATACCTATCTATCTTGTGGAAACTGTGCTTAAAGCAGTGTTCTGAGATACCGAGATGCCTAGTTTACTCATAAGTACCTAGAAAAGAGATGAACAGATCTGCACTGTGGGAAGGGAGGGTGGGGAGATGTTGCCTGCTGTCTCAGAGGATTGAATAGTCTGGAATTCCAATAAAAGCTATATGGATGGGAAGAAATGCAAGGGGAAGCCGATACTGGCAGCTTTTCCAACATCAAATTGGAAGCAGTAGATTCCTCTTCTCCTCTCGTTAATCTTTCCACCTTGCTTTTTGTCCCCTTCCGGCCCTCCTACGAAGCCATCTTGCTGGGTGCATTACTTTCTATATCTTGGATTAGTTTTCCCTGCTCTATTCTCTCCTATTTATCAGCATTTTAAAGACCCTCTGCTCTTTCCCATCTTAAAACAAAACTGAGCCAGAACAAACTAAAACATCCTCCTCAATCCCCTTGCCTTCCAGCCTGCCTGTCTTCCTCCCCCACCACCCTTCACAGCCACACTCTTTAAAGTAAAGACAACTTACTGCCCCCTCAGTCCCTCTTCCCACCACACCAGGAAATGCTCCTGCTGACGTGTGTTGTGACATCCTCTTCAGTCCTGATTTTTACTTTACCCAAAGATAACATTTGACTATGTTGATCCCACGTGGTCCTCTTTCCCTTTGCACAATTCTCTGCTGGTTTGTCTATTAATTATCTGGCCTCTTAAACCTCTCTCATTTTCTTTTTATTTTTTAAATATGCATTTAAAAAATCTAACACATTGTGTGTGGGGAGTGGCTCAGGAGTGGTTGGGGGCAATCCCTTTATTTAATTTAGTTTCAGGTAAGTGTTCCACAGGTATTTATCTGAGACACCTTCCTTTTCTCTTCACAAATTCTTAGTTAATTTGCTTCATTCCTACCTTAATGTTGATGATTTCCAAATCCTTACTCTAGCTCCTGTATCTTTCTTGACCTCCAGGTCTGAATACCCAGTTGGTTTATTTGTGTATCGTATGAGATCTGGAGCTCAAGACCTTCAGCTCTGCCTCCTCTTTCATCCATTTGGTTAACTGGAACCTAGGTTTTATTTTGGCTCTAGTTGCTTTCCCACTCCCAATCCAAGAGCTATTTTTTTCTGATTCCTATGCCTTGTCTAATTTTCTCAGTGCCAGTGATAGTTTCCTTAGTTCTTGCCACCTGCACCCTACCACTCCTCACAGTCACCCACCAGGAGCCTGGAACTAGGGCATTCTGCTGAAGCAGAAAGCCAGTCATGTCATTCACCTGCATAATTGCATCTGTGGACTTCGGGGTGAAGATCCAAATTCTCAACTGGCCTTTAAGGCTCTTTTTAAAATTCCACTCCTGGTTTAATGGTCACTAGTCCACCGTCCCATCTACTTCCCCACTCCTGACCCTACAAATATCCACACATACATTTCTCATATTCACTCATTCTCTCCCCCTTTCTCTCCCTCACCCCCTACCATACTGAATTACTTTGAATTTCGCAAATTTCGTGTTTCCTCATCCTACAAGTCTTCTGTGCCCGCATTTCACTCAGTCTGGAATCCTCTGCCCCCAATTCCCACTTGCTGTACCCACCTACTAAATCTTCTTCACCTTTTAGGTGTCAGCTTAGTCTTTACTCCTCCGGTCTCCTGCATGCTTTTATAATATTTGGAACTTCCTCCATCACAATACATGTTGCCACATTCTGGACAGGGATGGAATTTACTTGTTTTTTTGGTCTCCCTTACTGAGCCTTTAGCCTAGGAGTTATAGAAATCATAATCTATCCCATTTACTTTTTGTTCCCCCGGGTCCAGCACATGTCTGCCATATATTAGCCTTTAAAAAATGTCAGAGTTTAGAAACAATGTAACGACCTAGCATTATTCATGGGAGTGGCAAGACAGATTAATTTTTGGCAGGGCAAAAAAAGTCATAAAATGTAACTCTCCGTAAGCAGATAAATGGACAGATTTGTCTACGAAGCACTTCACAGTATGTGTGCGCGTGCGCGCGGGCCTGTGTTTGTGCGCATGCGCATGTGTTTGTGCACACGCACGCTCGCTCACAGTGTCTGCTTTAGGCCTCAGTCTGAGACCCTTGGTGCCAGTTAGGCAGGGGCTTTTGCACAACCAGACCTCTCCTGTAACTAAATAGGGTGCTGTTTCTTCTTGGGAGTGTTTTAAATCACATGTAAATGGCTTGAAAGAGGGGGCTTAGCCCTGAGAATTCAGCTGTTGTGAGTAAGGCCTGATGTTCAGTGATGGTGGTATCATCCCCAGCGCCTTCCCAATTCCCAGGACAATGCTGCCTGGAGTTTTACACAGTGACTAATTTAGGACATCTCATAAGAAAAGGAGCCCTAACCCTTAGTGCATTTAGAAAGACCTGGTCTAGGTCTTCTAGGAAACATTCTCAGTTTGGACTATCACAGTTCCTGACGTGATCCTATCTGTCTTCCTGGGATGCTATTTGGTAACAAAGTGAAGAAAATTTTTTATTATAAAAATTATACTTGTTATAAACATTTGAGAAAAGATTATGTAAATAAGCATTTACTTTATGCGAATACCTTATTTAATAATATTATGTTAAAGTTAGAGGCACATGAATATATCACATTTTCCCCTGTGTCCAGCCTAATGGGGAAAGAAAGCAGATTATTCTCTAGATACAAACTTTGTTTTTTTTAGCCATCATGAAAGGCAAAAGGATATTCTGTATGAATTTTTGTAAGTTAATTTTACTTATTATTTTATTTAGTAAGGGGTGATTATAATGTCAGTGGCTTTGAACCATAACATTGACCTAACATAATATTTAAGCCATTTTTTTCATTTAAAAATTATACATAATCTGTAAATGATAAATTGTTTTTAATGTGTTTATGGACTGAAGTTATTAAAGTTAGTTACTTTCTCTAAATCTCATGCTATTAATACAAATAATTTTTAAATTATAATTAAAAATTAGTAATTTTTAAATTATAAGTGACTTTAAATATCACTTATAATCCCACTAACCTCTGATATTGTTTTGTTCATGATTGCTTTCAGTTTTTATGTCCTTTCAGTCTATATCTATGAACATTATACTTTTTACTTGTTTTCATAATGATGTGTAAACAATTTTGTGTTTTTTAAGTAATATTTTATTTAAAATATGCTATTTAAAATAAAGGTTCATTTTATTTAAAATATGTTATCTACATAATTATTTTCATGCTTGGCTAGATACATACAATCTGATATAAATAACTTTTTAGACAGAAACTGTGATTTCTGGCTGAAGCTTTACTTTTTATGCTTGAAGCTCATTTATTGTTAGGAACACATCATAAGATGCTTACTTTAATAACTAACCTTTTCTTTTAAATATCAGGTAATATACATGTTAAGGAAATCATGAAATTGGTGGTATTTTTATAGAAGCTAAAATTGAACAGAAAAAGATCAAATCACCTAATTTGCACATGAAAACAAGCATTTCTGAAACTAATTTGATTTGCAATAAAAATAGGGATGTTAATTTTGTACATACTTGGTCACTGTGACCTTGAATAATTGGATGATTTGGAAGAAAGAAAGAGAGAGAGAGAAAGAGAGAAAAGAAAAGAAAAAAGAAAAGATTGGTTGGAAAAGTTTCTCTGCCAATGAAATGACATCATTCCTGGAAAGGGTTTGATAATTGTGCAAGAAGGATCAGGAAAGTACTACCACCTAGTAGCGGGGACTGCCTGGAACAGCCAAACTACATAAACAGTCTTCTGAACTTTCCAAAGCTGCCAGCATAAATGTCTGCAGATTTTAATGAAGAAAACAGATGTAAATGGACGGTGGAGGTGATGGATAACTTCTCCCTGTGTAGTGAGAGATCCAAAAGAGAAAGGTTTCCAGTCAAAAGTAATGTTTTTAAAATATCTTAATTATCTATGAAAATTAAATTGAGGCAAAAAGTAGAAAGTGGAAAGGTTAAAAATAAAGTCTTAATTCTGAAAACTAAAAGTAGTAATACCTTTTATGCTCTAACCTTTTAAAAGATATCAATCATTTCCATATTCACATAGGGTTCTAATAGACTGATCAATAATTCATGAAATAAATATTTAATTTTTATGAGATTTCTGAGATGAGGAAAGTGCCAGTCTTTACACATTTTTGGGAATTTTAGATATGGCCAACTATTTGGGGGATTTTTTTTCTTCCTTTAAAAAAAAACTCTTTCCCAGGATATTTTAAACAAATTATATTTCCCACTAGCCTTTAAAAAAAATGTTTTAAAATTTCTTTTAGAAATAATGCTTAGTACAGGATCCATTTTCACATGAATATATTTTTTTCCTTCAAAACCATATTATTGTATAGAATATGAATGATTAATGTTTGCATTTGTAATTTGACAATAGGACAATTTTCTGTTTTTACTATAGAGGTCCATTAAAATGACCACATTGACTCTTGAAATGTCATTAATGAATTTTGTGAGTACATATTTCCTGCCCTGTAATTTGTTTCCTGAATTATCATGTAGTTTGAAAGAGATGTGAATGAGTTACTTTTCCATGTCCTGTGATCGTACTACGATTACACAAAGATTTTCCCATTTTAATGAGTACTGTACTGTTTCAACAACATTTGTTTCAGTTTTAGTACAATAGAAGTATTTGGATGGCATCCCAAATATTTGAGAGGAATCTGGTAAAATGGTACTAGACTAATTACCTCGTCTGTTCTGTACTGGAAGATCTTTTAGGGTCTTAAGAAGCTAGAAAAATCCAGTTGGCACTACCATACATTTTGACCATCATATTTAGTATATTGACATTTTTTTCTTTTGAGTTCATCTCACTTTTCTAATGAAAAATTAATGATTATATAAGCATAGTGAGGATTTTAGGTGCTTCCTTTTCACAGTAATGTAAAAATCACAGCTAAAGCTAGTTTGCTGCAACTTTACTGTCTTGAGGTGAAATAGTTTTTGAAAAGAAATAAAAACATAAAAATTTAAAAATTACAAATGGTCATACCACTACAGGTATTAAAATTGCAGTAGAAAAGTGTACTGATTTTTTTAAAGGTAAATCAGAATTTTCTCTAAAATGTTTACACTCTAGGAATACTCAGGATTTGTTTGAGGGCTCATATTTTAGTGTTTATGTCTGTCCTCTGTCTACCTTCCCTCATTTTCTTCTCCACCCGAAACACACTCAAGGGACTCCGATTTTATGGATGAAATGATTGCCAATAGATGCCTGAGGAGAGGGGGAGATAAGTTACAAAGGAGATGTCTGAGTGATTTGAAAGGGGAGGCAATATTGTACTTCAGTTTTTTGTTAATAGGATTTGTGGGGTGGCAGTAATTAGGACCTTGTTCCAGATCTGTTTTAATCTGCAACCTTTGTCTTCCTGAAGTCAGTGCCCCTGAACCACTGCCCAGAAGCCTAGTTTATAGTAGGTAGCATAGTTTCTGGGAGGGTTTAGTGCTTTTTGGTGATAAGGTATATATATAATACCTGTTATGTGTGGTGATGGTTGGCAAGAGTTTACTTTGGCACTGCCCCATTCACTGCAGGTGTCTGCACCAGGCCTTGAACATATTTATCTTATTACTAAATTACTATTCACATGACTGCTCTTATTAGTGTTGTTTTGGCTAAGTCTCATTAGCTCAATTAAAACTCTGTATTTCATTATTTGACATATCTATTCAATTATGTCTCTTCTGGTATTATTTCTTACTGAAATAAAATGACCTTTGTGATTTATAATGCATTTTTTGGCCTTTCTAGACAAAATTTGCCCTGATTTTATGATTCATTATCTGGAGAGAACTTAGTTCAGTGTATACCTTTAGGTGCTAAATATTAGTAGAATTATTAAGGAATATACCTAATGCAGAAAACCTGCTTTGAAGATAGATGTTTATAGAATTGATGGGAAAGGCTTACTTAATGTAGTTTTCCTTCATTTACTAGATTCTCCTGAATTATTTTGGAAACTATGTACCGAACGCATGGACGCAGGATAATGGCTGCATTCTTTGTGATGTGGATACAATTGACTTATCTACGGTAGATGTGAGTGGAATTGACTATGTGTGAAATGTAGAAATAAAAAGCACAGTGTCATGAAATGCAGTGATTTTTCAAAAACATGTTATTTTATAGTTTTGGTAATATGGTAGATAATGGATTTATAAAGCTAAAACGATGATTCAGAAAATTGCTAGATTTGTGTGTTTCTGAACTGTTTTTGAAAGTGAAACTGGCTAGTAATTGATCCCAATAAAAGGGACTTAGTTGTTAATATTTAATAGTTGTTATGATTGGATGCTCTTGTTCTATTTTAGTCTGCTAACTTAGCTAAAGCATTGAGGAAAAAATGCTTTAGCATTTGTATTGACTAGTATTATCTGTGCTTGATTTTCAAATATGATGATTTAAAAAATAATAATATGTGATTATGTAACTAAGGACCGTTTTAAGTATTTTACATAAAGTAACTCAATTAAACTTCACGAAATCTCTTAAGTAGATTGTACTAATTGATTCAGTTTTACAAATGAAAAACTGAGATACATACAAATTAAGTAACTTGCTTAAGGGCACCCAAGTTTTTTAGGCGTTGGAGGTGAGATTTGAATTTAGGCGATCTGGCTCTAGACCCTGTACATATTATATGCCAGGCACAGTGCTACTTTTATGTATAGCTCATAGAGAACTATAGCTGTAGTTTATCTTTTACACTTTGAGGGTAAAGGAGCAATTATAAATAATATTTACCTGTAGAACATTTTGATGCATCCTTTTGTCATCAACCAGAGCAGCTTTAGGATATCTTATGGTAACATTTTTCTTCCAAAAAATTGCTCTTGTAACTTGGAAAACTGTTATTATGGGTATGACCAGTTGGATTCTAGGGATGATTTTGTCATTAAGGCTGATTCTTTCCTTCATTCATCATAGGTTTATTGAGTATCTACAGCATGCCAGATAGGTAGAACCAATATAAGCAAAAATAAAATTCCCAGTTATATAGTCTTGGTAACTCCTGGATCCATGCAAATATAAAATACTCTTACTATAAAGAACTGAAGCTCCTGAATTAAATTGTTTCTATGCTTATCACTGTCTGAAAGGAGGACAAAGAGTAACTTGTGCACATTTAGGAGCTTCTGAATAGAGCCCTACTTTTCTTGAAAATAAGACTTTTTGGCTGGTCTCTCAAATAACTAACTGAATATTTCCTATCTGGAAAGAGTGCCAGAATATTTTTGAATGAAGCAGCACCATGATGTTTAAAAATTCATCCTGATCTTTTTTGCAGAAAGTAGTGTTGTCCTTTGGAGGGAGGGTTAATTCTTTTTATCTGTTCGGTCTTCTTTTACATAAACTTTCTGGTGCAAATATAGAAAAACATTTGCTTTAAAATTTTGTAGTTATTGGGGTGCCTGGGTGGCTCAGTCAGTTAAGCACCTGATTCTGGATTCTGGAGTCCCGGGATTGAGTCCCACATTAGGCTCCCTGCTCAGCAGGGAGTCTGTTTCTCCCTCTGACCCTCCCCCTCTCATGCTCTCTGTCTCCCATTCTCTCTCTCAGATAAATAAATAAAACCTTTAAAAAAATTTTTTAAATTTTGTAGTTATTATGCAATAGGGATATAAAAATTAAAATGATGTGGGTAGTTAAGATCTCAGGCCTACCATATTCTTAGGTGTGGGCCATAAGCAAGTTTCTTTCTATATAAAGAAAGGGAGGGTTAAATGAAACATTATACATAGATATATAAATAATATTTTACATGTATAAATTATATATACATATGCAGTACTAAGCCTTCAATCTATGTTAACTGTTGTATTATCATTAGTATATAAAAAGAACTTAGATGGATAATGAAAAGGTAGCACATTGAAACCCAGCTCTTTACCTACTAATTATGTGTTCTGAGTTGCTTAATTTCTCTAAACCCCATTTTCCTCATGTGTAAATTTGGAATAATAAGTAACTCTAAGGTTATTATGAAATGTAAATTAAATGTATTATTTCATTTAATAAGGGAGAGTTGTGATCAACTTTTTACTTATTTCCCCTATTAAATTGAGAACTCCTACAGGGTAGATATTTTGTCTTTAGTTGTTTGTATTTTTTTATTCAGTAATAAATATTTGACTGAGTGAATAAATTGATAAAGAAGTAAACAGTAAATAAGTTGTACTTCAATGTAAACAGATATTAAGTTATGATCCAGATAACAGAAATATATGAGGCATCATGCATGAAAAGATGGGAGAGGCGGTACCTAATTCAGCACTTAACATATATGATACTTCTAAAAATCTTTAATCTTTAAATTCAGACTTTAAGACATGTTTTAAAAAGGCATTATAATGAAATCTTTCTTATAGTTTTGGTAATAACACTATTACATGGTCATTTACTTATGTTTCTGTCTTCCCCAACCATTTGTAAATTTTTAAGGCCAGGAACCTTTTACTCCTTGTCCTAAATGTTGCTCATCACAAGGACTGACAAATATGATGAATTTTTCAAAAAGTTCTCATGCAATTAGTGAAAGATAAACTATCCTGTAAAACATACCCAAAAAGGATTTTTAAAAATCTATAGAAATAGATTGAACAAGATAAACTACATTAGTGAAAGAAAATAGTTTTCTTATATATAATAATGAGCAAAATAAAGTACTATCCATAAAAGGAGATTAAAGGAAATATTCAAGGATAGAAATAAAGGCTCAAGACCTCCATGATTGCTTTATCTGAGCTACAAATTAAATGTTGAACTTCCAAGCCATGGAAACCAAAAGGGAAAAACAATTAGCATTCTGACTTCTTAGATGAAGATGACAAAGTAGATTCAGATCTGAAGGAAATTTCTTTAAAGACTATCATAAAGGAAGCATTGAATGGTAGAGTAGGCAATTTCCTTTATTACATTCATGTAATAAATATGATAGTGAGTTTCCTCTTCAAACCTAAGTCATAATGTCAAGATGTGATTAGGTAAATCACTTTGAGGGGGACCATAGGAATGTATTTTAAGTGTTAGAGAATTGCCATGGGGCAATTGAAATTTAGCAGATTATAAATGATATTCCTAATATATTTTATGTTGTACTGATTAAGACTTAAATAGAATTTAGAGTACACCCACACTAATAATAATTTGCTTTTATGTTTACCATAAAACAAAGGTCCATCCAAATGTAACAATAGGAGTTTTTATTGAACAACCAACCCCTTTCCTACCTCGATTTCTGGACATATTGTTGACACTGGATTACCCAAAAGAAGCGCTTAAGCTCTTTATTCATAACAAAGTAAGTGTTTGAGAAATGAATATTTTATGTGAAAATTGTTTTTGACCTTCTTTGGAACTATTTGCTATTATTTGTTTATGTGTAAATTAACACACTGAGCTAAATACAGTGGGGAATTTTGGGGATAATTACTGTCCTGTTTATTTAGGACCTAAGGATTTTAGAGTCTGGAAACTAGTATTATAATATTGGAATGAGCCACATTAAACTCAATTTTGTAGATTCAAAATGGTGGAATATCAGCTATTTTCATATGGTTCAACTTAATATATAAATATGTGAAGAAATGTCAAAGTCCTCATATTCCTTTGCCTTTGGGTTAGTCCTTGTACCTTCTTTGATGGAACTGGTCATTAAATTGTTTGCAGCTTAAGCTAATACTGTGACATCAGAACTTAAAATAGCTTCCAGATACAGTATTGTTTTGATTAATCACACAATGGCATGCTCTTCCCCAAAGGATTTTGATACTGTCATTTCCTCCAAAAATAATCAGAACCTCCCCCAAACCTCCCACACATAATCTAAACTGAGACATTTTTGCTCAATATTTTCCCATTTACTTGTCCCTTTCCTGTTAAAACAATTGACACTTAACATCTTCTAGAAAAACACAATAGCTATGAAATATGCATTTTCTCTCTTTTGTCCTAATGCTTTTTGTTTAATATTGTTCTTTCTTCCTAATGTACATGTCAGCTTATCGTTTGCCTTTTCCAGAGAATATTTTAAATTTGCAGAAAACCAGCTACAATAAGTTTAAAAGGGTGAATCATTGAGCATTTGCTTTGTAAAATGTGTCGTAATACATTTATTTACATTGAAGTGTTTTGTTTTTATATATTGTGTCATTTATTTATGTCTTTCTCCTTTCATAGGACCTCCTTGATGAGAGGGGATTTTGTCTTCTCTCTTTTTTTATAAAATTAACTCTGTGCAGCTTTTATGCTATAACTAGTTTTAACAAGCTGTGAAAAGCTTTCAAATAACTTAGTGAAACTCAATACACAAAAAGCTCTGAAATGCTCTGTTGGAGACACATAATATCTAAATTTTAGCACAGTTGAATCATACTAATTTGATGACTTATGTTCATAATTTATCAATAAAGTTTTCTTAAACTTTACCTTCTTTTTGTAAAAATACAATTTTATATATGACCATTCATTTCTGTCTCCGGCTTCAAAGAGTATTATAATACTTACTTTATAAAATATGATTATATTTTTAACTTAGATTAATGTCTATTAGGTTTAATAGACATTTTTTTTGGATATTTTAAAGCACATGTCTGAAATTCTCAGGCCACAAGCCATTTTTCCTTCAAGTCAGAAACATTTTGTTTAAATTTAAACCCAGGATTTAAATATTTCTTCAAGGACCTGTCCAGGAGTAGATGTTAGAAGAATTTTGTTTTATTTTTATTTTAAAAAATATTGATGTGTATCTATTTTAGATTCTTCACATGATATGTGTTTGATACAGGTTATCATTTCATCTGTAATTGAGGGAATATGTGAATTGTGGAATTCACAACTTTGAATACGATGCCATCCCTACATATGAATACTTCAGTTATCCTATTGTCATTTTCGCACTAATGTTCTGTTTTTAAAATATGTTACAGGAAGTTTATCATGAAAAGGACATCAAAGTATTTTTTGATAAAGCTAAACATGAAATCAATACTATAAAAATAGTAGGACCAGAAGAAAATCTAAGTCAAGCTGAAGCCAGAAACATGGGAATGTATGTTTTAATCAATTTAAGTAATTTCTACTAAAGAAATTTAAAGAAAAACAACTTTTCTTCAAAATTAGTATCCTGAACTTGGGTGTCTCAGCTCTGTGTGTGAGTTTGCATGTGTGCTGTGTATGCTCATGAGCACACCTCTACTGTTAGACTGTATCTACGTTTGTGTGTATTTACATGTATACAGAGAGAGAGATGGTTGAGAGTCAACACATTTAATCAAGCTATTAATTGAACTGCAAATCAAGATTTAAAAGAATACTCAGACAGGGGTGCCTGGCTGGCTCAGTCAGAAGAGCATGTGACTCTTGATCTCTGGGTCATGAATTTGAGCCTTAACGCTGGGAGTAGAGATTACTTAAAATAAGAAATAAAAAAAGATACTCAGACAAATGAATAGTATGACTGATGTAGCAGTGATCTAAATGTTTACTATCTGAAGATTATGTGTGGTGAAAATGTGTGTTTCAGATTGTGGGGTATAAAGGGTATTCCTACTTTCTAGTCACCTACTGGTCTAGATAAAACTATACCCCTCAGAAGAAAGTTTTAGGTTCTTTGTTTAGCCCCTTTAATACTTTAGACAGATTACTAGTAAAACTCTGGAAATAATAAAAACAATCATTTTTCAGTAGATGTTAATTGAATATGCCAGCAGTGACTTAAGAGCTGCTGAGAAAAAAGATAAATAAATCATGTGACTTCTCTTCAGATGTTCTCTTGTGTTGTGGAAGCTCACGGTACAGAGTGATGGGTAGTGCCTGGTGTGGGAATAAAGGCGTAGGCAGGAAAACAAGCCTCAGAAAGACAAAACTAATGGTTCCATAATTTATTCATTGGAGAATACCTTGGATCCACATTTGGAACTTATTTTCTTGATTTTTTTTTTTTAAATATATACTCTGTTGTGTCTGGCTTCTTTGGCTCAGTACAACATATTCTCATTCACTCATGTCAATGCAGTTATCAGCAGTTCATTCCTTTCATGACTGACTAATACTCTGTCATGTGAATATACCACAAATAGATTTTACACTTTCTTATTGATAGAATTAGATCATGTCCAGTTTGGAGCCATTTGAATAAGATTGCTAAAGAAGACTCCTTATTAGAAGTGTATATGTGGGTGTATGTGTGTACATATTTTGCTTCCGTATATTTTAGGAAAATACCCAGGAGTAGACTAACTAGGGCATAGGGTTAGAATAAATGCATGTTTAACTTTATAAGAAACTGCTAAATAGTCCTCCAAACCGTTATACCATTGTACACACCTGACAGCAGGTGATTCAGACCTCTGGCTGCTCCATATTTGTCAACAGTTGATGTTGCCCATCTTTTTTTATTTTAGCTACTTTATTGGGTATCAAAAATATCTTACTGTATTTTAATTTAATTCCCTGACAACGAATTCTCTATTTGTATATTAATTGGCTATTTGTATGTATTCATTTGTAGAGTATCTGTTTAAGTCTTTTGTGCATTTTTGTTTACATTGGGTTATCTTTTTTTGTTTATAGGATTTCATTATATAATCTGTATACAAGGGGTGTGTGTGTGTGTGTTTGTGTGTGTGTGTATGATGTTTTGTGAATATTTGCTCCATTCTGTGGCTTGATTTTTTTTTACTTTTTTAATCATGTCTTTTGATAAGAAGAAATTTGAATTCCAATAAAATTCTATTTCTTTTTTTTTTCTTTTATGCTTTTTGCTTTTTGGGTTTATTTTCTATTTAAGAAATCTTTCTTACTCCAATGTTATGAAAACATCCCTTGGAATTTTTCTTTCATAAGCTTTATTGTCCTAGCACTTATGTTTAAGATGTTTCAATCTGTAATTCATCCTGAATACATTTTTGTGTTTGGAGTGAAGTGGGGGTCAAATTTTATTCTTTGCAAAAGGAATTCCAGTTGTTTCAACACTCCTTTTTATTTTAAGGCTTTTCTTTTCCTATGTAATTGACTTGGCTTTGGTCAAAAATCAATTGACTGAATATTTATGAGTGATTGTGAACTCTCTACTCTGTTCCGTTGATTTTAGATCAATGCAACACTTTATTACCAGGGATTTATATTAATCTTGAAATCAAGTAGTGTAATTCCTTCAGTTTTTATTCCAAAATAATTTTGGCTATTTTATTTTTATTTTATTTTATCTTATGTATTTAATTGAGGTATAATTCACATATAACCTATAGCTTTAGATGTACAACATAATGATTCAATATTTGAATACACAAAATAAGTTTAGTTACCATCTGTCATCATACATAATTACAAAACTTTAAAAAATTTTTCTCTAATTTTTTGTGCAAGTTTAGCAAAGTTTCCTGTATGACAGTTGCTTAGAAACAAATGTGGTATAGAGATACATACTGACAATAGCAGAAAGTGGTAACTAGGATCAGCAGTGAGGGAGGGGAGGTCAAAAGGAGAGAGCCCCAGATGTAGAAATCATAATACTTGGAAGCATCTCATGTATCACAAGTAGTTCATTCCTTGTTGTTCCTGATGAAAATGCTACAGACTCTACCAAGAAAAACATATGTCATAGTCCATGATGACCCCTGATAAGAAGCAGGGGAGTAAATTTCTTAGAATTCCATGCAAATCAAGTTTAAAAAGTATTAATACCTAAAGAATTACACACTTGTATCTCCAAGATTCACTTAAAACTGAGTTGTTGGATAAGCAAGATTTTGCACTGTGTGTGTGTGTGTGCAGAAAGCATTTTGATTTGTGAAAAAAAGTTGTTGATGAATACATTGAGATAAATTATGTTTCCCTTTCAGAGAGTTCTAAGTACCAAATTCTAAATTGCCATTCTGACTGGGTATCTTATGCCTTAAACTTCTTAGTGGCTTGAAAATGTATTTCACTTGACCTAAAATTTTTAGTGTTGATCTCCATGTGAATATCTATGTTGATAAACTGACCATTTTGAAATTTAAGACAGTATTTATCCCTTTGGAGACTGTCTTACTATATTGATTAGAAGAATATGTTAGAGAAACTTTATTTTATGTATAAGCTTTATGTTGACATTTTTCAACTAGCAAGTATTTATTTTATCTAATTCTTATTTCTTTTTCAATGTTAGGGATTTTTGCCGTCAGGATGAAAACTGTGATTATTATTTTAGTCTGGATGCAGATGTTGTTTTGACAAATCCAAGGACCTTAAAAATTTTGATTGAACAAAACAGGTACTACATAAGATTCGTTTTCAATTTATTTTTAAAATGGTAATCATTTTCTGTGTCTGTGTGGACACACTATGCTTACATCTCTATGTTTAGTGGATTGAGGGAACTCACATGAAGTTATTTTCTATGCCTTATAAACTTTAAGTTCTTACTAGTTTTCTTTCAAAGGAGTCAAATAGAAAACAATGATGAAAATTAGAAGTATTTAATATTAGTTACAATCACAAATGCAATGTTTATCAATTATATTTGGCCTATTTTTCTGTTTAAAGCAAGGTGAAATTATGATATATCTGTAAAATTTGGAATTTTAAAATTTTTTGTAGATATTTTTAAAGTAGAATTTCATAAAACTTATGACCTAAAAAGTTATTGCAAACGGAGATCTAAGTTCTTAGAATTTGAAAGAAATTTCAGAGATCTGTGATTTTATTTAGTACTGAACTGATAATTATTACTTGGCAGTACCTATTTTTATTTAGTGGAATTGAAGTGTGAAAAAGACATCATCTATACCAGCTTATAATGATATTAGTCATTATTTATTATATTACACCTATTGCTGCTAGTAGTTTATTAATCCTCCTACTAATAGCCCACCTTTAATGAGTGCTTATTAAGTGCCAGGTATTGTTTTTAAGTATGTTTACATATATTAATGCAATTATTTCTCTTAGCAAATAGTATGGTTAGCAGTGAAATATTAGAATTGCTGTTTTTATTTTGCTGAGTAAAATATATGAGAAATCTGTTATGCTATACTAACCTCCTCTATATGTAATATGATTTGCCAATTTGAGAATTCAGCTATTACTTCAAAATCTAAGACCTCTTAGTATTAATCTGTGTATACAGCCCCACTATATATCTATAAATTGCAAGTAATTTTTCAAAACATGAATAACCTTTTGATCATTAGGCAAGGAGCAGTTAGGCTACCTTAGAGATAAGGGATAGAGTTGCAATTTATAACTCTTAAAACCTAGTGGAATTCAGTAATATTTTCTTGAATTTGCAATGTTAGTTGCCTCTTAATTTGATTTAAATTCAATATTATGGAATGTACATTTTTTAGATAATATTTATATGTTTTTATTATATGACACTTTTGCAGGTACTTATTCTTACAGTGAACTATTTAATGAATTCATACTATGTATTTAACATATATCCCCTTTAATATTAATCTAATGTTTTAAACCTGGTAAAAAATAAAATTCCCTCAAAAGTAACTCAACTGCCATCTGGGCCCATTGCCCTTGAAAGGCTAGAAACTCAGGATATTTTTCCAATTCCATAAATTTCTGTTACTGATCAAAGGTTTCGGTTCATATGATACATACAGTTCTTGCTTCTGTATCCAAGCATGTAGTTTTCATAAAGAATTTACATATACCAAAAATCTTGTGAGATTTAGTAGACTTGACTGAAGGTTAGAGGGACAAGGGATGGGTCACATCTTAGGGCATGTAGCTTTCTAGCATTTCATCAGCTCTCTTTTCCCTCTTTTCCCATCTCTGCTATTTACTGCATTACTCCAGGTTTTACTCCTTCAGTAATGTAGTGTAATTCATCATCCCCCAGCTGCTGTCCTGATAAAGTAGTCCCCCTTATCCACAGGGGATACGTTCCAAGACCTCCAGGGGATGCCTGAAACCACAGATAATCCCAAACCCTATATACACTATGTTTTTTTCCTGTACTTACAGACCTGTGATAAAGCTTAATTTATAAATTGCTCACAGTAAGAGATTAACAACAATAATAAAATAGAACAGTTATAACAATATGCTGTAATAAAAGTTATGTGGATGTGATCTCTCTCTCTCAAAATATCTTTTTGTTCTGTGCTCACCCTTCTTGTGATGATGTGAGATGATAAAATGCCCACGTGAGGAGATGAAGTGAGGGGAATGACACAGGCAGTGTGACTTAACGTTAAGCTACTATTGATCTGATGATTCATCAGAAGAATCACCTGCTTCTGGACTATGGTTGACCCTGGGTAATTGAAACCATGGATAAGGGGCCTTACTGTATTTCAGTACTCAAAAACATTGAGGCACACCGAAGATGGATTTTGATTTCCATTTCTTTGCCTAACCTTCTATGGAAGGCAGCTGGATTATAAATTACAAGATTTTTTTTTTCTATTATATATTTGATCTTATCAGTTAACACCATTGAATTATTTCTTAAATTAACATAATATATAGATTCTAATTTATAGTATCATTTCTAATATTGTAGATATTCTTTTTTTTATTATGTTATGTTAATCACCATACATTACGTCATTAGTTTTTGATGTAGTGTTCCATGATTCATTGTTTGCGTATAACACCCAGTGCTCCATTCAGTATGTGCCCTCTTTAATACCCATCACCAGGCTAACCCATCCCTGCACCCCCCTCCCCTCTAGAACCCTCAGTCTGTTTCTCAGAGTCCATAGTCTCTCATGGTTCGTCTCCCCCTCCAATTTCCCCCCCTTCATTTTTCACTTCCTACTATCTTCTTCTTTTTTTTTTTAACATATAATGTATTGTTTCAGAGGTACACGTTTGTGATTCATCAGTCTTACACAATTCACAGCGCTCACCATAGCACACACCCTCCCCCATGTCTATCACCCAGCCACCCCATCCCTCCCACCCCCTACGACTCCAGCAAGCCTCAGTTTGTTTCCTGAGATTAAGAATTCCTCATATCAGTGAGGTCATATGATACATGTCTTTCTCTGATTGACTTATTTCGCTCAGCATAACACCCTCCAGTTCCATCCACGTCGTTGCAAATGGCAAGATTTCATTCCTTTTGATGGCTGCATAATATTCCACTGTGTATATATACCACGTCTTCTTTATCCATTCATCTGTTGATGGACAATTTAAGTGTTTCTGGTTAACATTTCCTTTTAATAGGAACCAGGAAAAATAAACCAAAATCACTATTTTGAATGATGTGTATTTATAGACTGTTTCACTTTTCTGTAGGTAAGGGAAAGGGCACACCTGGTCTTCACAGGACTGGAGTGTTGTGAAATAGGGTTTTTTTTGTGGCAAATACCTGGTTCATAAACTTCCTCATGAAAGAGTTGGGTGAGCTTTTCTTAAAAATTGACACCACTATAATTCACTTCATTTTTAAAGTAATTCTAGAGGAACCTCAGAATTACCTCATTTGGAAAGTGTTGACACATTATAAATTAGATTTTCCTAAGAAAAAATCTGACATATTTTGAATCTGTAACATGTGCTTGTCTCAAAGGGACTACTTTCCTGGTAGGTAGTCAGACAGAGTGCTATGGCAATTACCCTCTATTTTTTTTCTTTAATTAGCAATAATCACGCCTCAGATAAACCTCATTGGCTACGATACTGCCACTGTGCAAAGCTATTTTTTTTTTTTAAATAGTTGAAGGGCCAGAAGAATGTCCAGTGTTGCCAGGGATAGCACAGCCCATTTTAAAAGTTGTAAAAAAAAAAAAAAGGAAACATACTTTAAAGTAATTCAGGACCTAACTTAAGGAAAACTGGCCTATTTACAAATATCTCAGTTCATCTTTATTCATTTTTTTATTCAACAAATATTTGTCAAATATTTGTTGGATACTTCAGTGCACCAGGGATTATTATGTCTTCTCAATGACAAACTATTTGATTTCATTTTGTATAATTTCTGAAATACTTAAAATAATTAAATAATTAAGGTAGTTTGACTTAATTGGATAGAAGTAAGGTACTTTTAAAAGTCATTTTTATACTTTAATTAGCATTTTCGATTACTTTGCCTTTTTAAGAAACATCATTGAAAATCAGCAGTGTGCTTATTTAAGAAAAAGTGGAAAGAAATTCCTGTTTATCTTTTATTTTACTTTTTTTTTTTGAACTCACTACATGGGTATTAAATGAACTTTAGTATTGTATGTGTCATGCTAAGCCCAAAACACATAATTCTGTGGTAATTTAAGAATAAACAATTACTTGGATTTGTTTTTCCTTTCACGCTGTCTTTAGAAAGATCATTGCTCCTCTCGTAACTCGTCATGGAAAGCTATGGTCCAACTTCTGGGGAGCCTTGAGTCCTGATGGATACTATGCTCGATCTGAAGATTATGTGGATATTGTTCAAGGGAATAGAGTGTAAGTTACTTGGTCAGTCTTTTAATGTAAAGTGCCATAACCTCAAAATGTGGTCTTGTTAACATTACCTGAGTTTTTGTTCCTCTTTTCTTCATGATTAGTGGAAATCTGCCAACCTGAGACCACTTGGGATCCTGAAATACTAGTGTAAAATAATATTACAAAAATCTGTCTTTGAGGTTCTAAATCTTCACAGGAACAAACTTAACTTGTGGGAAATACTAAGATACTACATGGTAGGTGGGAGTAGCTGTGAGAGGGTTGTCAGAAGACTAATATTATTTAGTTAAAAGTTTAGAAAAAGAATTTAGTTTAGCTCATTTAGTGGCCAGGATGAAAGTTGTTTTGATAGCTTTTAAAATTTACAAGTGAACAAACAAAATCAATAACAAAGGCAATGATTTACCTTCTAGCATTTCCTACTGCAAGAGTGTTCTGTGTAAAATAGCTAATATTCTGCTTTAAAGATCAATTTCTTCACCAATATCTGATTTCCATTTCCAGAGTTTAAAAAGAATATACTTGCTACAAAGTGTATGCATGAATTGATATTTATTTCAGAGACAACAGTTGACATTTTTTAGACTAAAAAATAATCAGAATTGAAATAGTGTTTTTTTGCTAAGGTAGTATAGAGTGGAATGTTATCCTTTTTCTTCATACAGATGATGGACCAGAGTGACTGATACATTAAAGCCTTTGCCTAATTTCTCAGATACATCAGCCCAATTAGAAAGGGAAAACATTCTTTCATGACTAAAAATATGTGCCTCTAAATTTAGAATAAAAACCCCACATACTTTTTGTTGAACAGTTGAGTATTAAAAAGATGTTTTACTTGTGAAAATAGTAATAGTAAATTTGAATGATAAATATGATTAAAGCTTTTGTTAGCTGCAATTAAGAAGCATGATAGCTGAGAAAACACTGTTCAGATCATATTCTGTTGTTTCAAAGTATTTTATTATCTCTAGGATGATTTGTATAGACCAAATGCCTGATATTGTCTGTGGGTATAACAGAAATAAGGGTTCACAGAAGTAGAATATAGAATTAATGTTTCATTTAAGTTGCTTTAGGCACTGGTGATATTTTGTACAGCCTCCTGTCACTGTTGTTTAAAGTATAAGGAAAAGAATATGGGAGAGGTTTTTGATCTAGTTAATACAAAAATGCACTTCATGTCCAAAAGCTACATGAAGGAATGACATCTTATGACACATATGCACATGGGTGTGTGTGTGTGTGTGTGTGTGTCTTTCTTCAAAACTGCATACTCTGCCAGTGACAAGTTTCTGAATTCAGATGATACACTGTATTATCTTTTATGGCTGTTTCCCTTGAGGTTCATCTAGCAAAACAAAATGAAATCATATTCCTTTTAACGTCTAACTTCATTTCCTTGGTCAAAATCTTTCCTTTCTTTCTCTAAAAGCAATAGGCATTTGCCTTCAGGTGAAACCTTACTCACTATTCTTAGGAAATGAGTCATGTTCAGAGTGAAAAGACAAATGTGGGGAAGAATGAAGGGCAAAATAAAGTATCTCCCAACCCTCACGTACTTCTAGCTCTATTTCTTCATATCTTCTCTTTCTCAAGAAATTTGAGATGGCTTAGTGAATTTCAAGAGGATATATTTTAGGAGAATTTTAGGCTGTACTCAGTGGTGTGCTGGTAAAGGTCTAACAACTGGATCTGGGGGTTGAGGGATGCCCTGATTTGTAGTGTTTGCCAGTTTCTGCGGTGTAAATGCTTCTGCAGTGGCTGATTTCTGGCTCGCAATGGGAAGTCACTGAGTATAGCTAAGTGCTCTGGGGAGCCAGTGTGAACGAGCTGTAGTACACCACAGGTTGTATGTAATTATTTTTGCTATCAAACTGCTTAATCCTAAATGGAAACTCTTTCTGTACAATAGATTATACTCTAGTAATGAAGGGAAGGATTACAGCCAAAATGCTAAACAGGTATCAACCCTAAAATGAAGTTAATGTAGGGAGATAGTGATTTATTGCATAAAAATGTAGTGTGTAGCAAGTAATGTCATATATGTGTGTATAACTATGTTAAATATCATTACATATGTTTGCATTTGCATGTAATTTGATTCAATGATTTATATATACAAAATTTAAAAACATACAAGGTATTTGTTTTGAAAACATAAAAATAAACCTTTAAATATTTTTTATTTGTGGTATTTTGGAATGTCTTGTCTTTACTTTCAGGGGGATATGGAATGTCCCATACATGGCTAATGTGTACTTAATTAAGGGAAAGACACTTCGAACAGAGATGAATGAAAGGAACTATTTTGTTCGTGATAAATTGGATCCTGATATGGCTCTGTGCCGAAATGCTAGAGAAATGGTAGGGTCTACAGTGATGGCTTGCTTGAATGTTTTTATAAAATGGCTTGCTTTACCAGTTGATATGTCATTGTGTTTTGATGCCCCTTTTCTTTCTAATTTGTAAGTACTAGCCAATTTTTTTGGTTCCATATTGAAAAATTGGGAGCAGTTATAGAGAATAATTTGTGAACATTTATCTGTAGAAATAGTTTGGAAAATGTTAGGTTCCATGCTTAGGCATAAGCAACAGAAAGATTTCAGTCATAAACATGGATTTGTTACAAATCAGCTTTGCATTTTTAAGAATTCATCTTCACTTCCATCTGAAATTTTATAGTGGAAAACTGACTTAATTAAAATTAATTAGATAAAGCCTGGGTGAAATAATCATTTACACATTTAAGAAGAACACACTTTTGTTCTGAAATCAATGCCCATTATTCTCTTTATCATTATAAACTGCACACTCCTCAAAGCAGTTCCTTATCACTAAACTGAGAGAGGGATTGTGATATGTAGTATATTTCATCTGTGTGAAAAGTAATGATATATTGCTATTCTACAAATGTATTTTCATTATAAAACTTCAATGATCATATAAAATAGTTTGTTTTTCAAAATGTGTGAATGTTTTAAAACATGTTTATATAGCTTTCTATTTTAGAAATGATTGGATTATTTTACTCAAATTCATATAAGCAAATGTGATTTGGGAAAAATCAGAAAAGTTGGCAAGTATTTTTTCTAGTTTAATAAGGCATGTATTGTTTGACTATGTTTGTTTTTCCCACAAACCTATGTGCATTGTTATATTGAGTATCTTCAGTACTTGTGATTGTAATTTGTGCTCATGTTCTGCTAATTTGACTCAACAGCGCATCCTGGAATGGCCTCTCTTACACATTTTTTCCTTTGTCTTAATTTTGTGTCTAATGAAAATTCTACTAAGGAATGAGCTTGGATTTATGTTTGACAAAAAAAAAAAAAAAAAGAAAGAAAGGGCTGGAGTTGTTTCTTTGTGTGCGCTATAAGCTTTGCTTGTTATGCATGTTGTCTATGAAGGACATTTCAGAATGTCAGCTTTTGATCAAGGGCTGCTAATGTTATTTACCTAAGAATACCTAAGGGAGTGTGGGTGTGCAGGTCAACTTACCCAATGCTTCTCTTCATTTTAGACTTTACAAAGGGAAAAAGACTCCCCTACTCCGGAAACATTCCAAATGCTCAGCCCCCCAAAGGTGTTATTTTTATTTATTTTTATTTGTTTTTATTTAATTAATACTAGATATGGTATATTGCCTACCAGTAAAGTTTAAGAGTCTTCTTTCCACTTAGCACGGTAAAATGTTGGTATTCATTGGTTCTTAAATTGTATATGTGTGTGTATGTTTTGTGTGTTGGGGGTGGGCATTATGTGATACTTAACTCTTAGTTCTTTGGGCAGATTTACATTTTTTGGTTGATGAATGAGAAAATTAAACCCAAATCCCTTTCATTAGTTTTTCTGGTTTTGTTTTTTTTAAGGGAGATAAAAAGTAGGAGTAAGTATAAAGTACATCTTGACTAAAATGAGATTGGGGTACTCTTCATTATTATTTTTTTTTATTAATAACTAACCCTTTTACCATTAAAACAGGTACAAAAAGAAACAAACTTACCATAGTGGTGTTTGCCACATTTATTTGGTTTGGGGCAAGGAAATGAGACCGGTTTTCTTTAGCTGCCTTTAATGAATAAGTAATTGCTATGTTCAGTTTTTAAACATCAGAACAATAAAAAGAATAACATAGTCTGATGAAATATTGACATTTGAATTCTTGTTTAAAAATGTGACATTTTCTTTGAAAGGGAAAGAAGCCAAAACAGGTACAATTCATTGCACTTTGTTGTCTCAAAAATATTTCTGCTTTCAAACAGGAATTTTTTTCCCTGATGTCTACATCTAGGATCAATGAGAAAGGGACAAAAACAGTCATTCTTCCTCTTCTTTTTTTCAGTTGAGTGTTAGTGCTATCAATTAGTTTTGTGTGGTGTCTGAATTCATAATTAATAAAATTTTTTTCTTTTATTTTAAATCATGCATGTTTTATATGAAAAATAAAAATGCATGTTCAGGAATGAGATATAAAAGTTGAAATTAATATCTCATATATATTTTTCCTATGGTTAAGTTTATTTTCTTGTATTTTCCTCTAAGATTGTTAATACTGTTATTCTTTGACACATAGGGTGTGTTTATGTACATTTCTAATAGACATGAATTTGGAAGACTTTTATCAACTGCTAATTACAATACTTCCCATTATAACAATGACCTCTGGCAGATTTTTGAAAATCCCGTGGTAGGTATTTCATACTGAACTTCATTTATTTCTTCTTTTCCTATAACTCTAAATGGATGTAAATCAGTTGGGTTAATAATATGAAAATGTGATAAGAGGCTTTAAAAATTTTAAAGTTTAAAAAACAGCTCAAGAAATATAATTAATTTTGTCTTTTAAAAATAACATAATTTAAAATATTATTATTTATATTATTCTTTAAAAGATACAATTAGGAGCACCTGGGTGGCTCAGTCGTTAAGCATCTGCCTTCAGCTCAGGTCATGATCCCAGGGTCCTGGGATTGATTCCCGCATCGGGCTCCCTGCTCAGCGGGAAGCCTGTTTCTCCCTCTCTCACTCCCCCTGCTGTGTTCCCTCTCACTGTCTCTCTGTCAAATAAATAAAACCTTTAAAAAAATAAAATAAAAGATACAATTAATTATATTTCTTGACCAAGAAATTTTTTTTAATTAAGACATATATTAGGAGTGGGGAAAGAAATTAATCAGTTTCTATGATTTCTCTCAATATTTCTATTTTATATATTCAAAAGCATCATAAGATTTTTAATTGTAATTTCAGAAAAACAAGTAGCTCACATATGATAATATTATGTTTTGATTTTCAAGAAGAGAATTCAAGAAGTTAGTTTGGGAAAATACATTTTATTTTATCATTTTATTTATTTTTTTATAACAAGTTTGTGAATGTACACCAAAGACAGCCAGAGAAGATTATAGAGTAAGGGGATTCAACATATAAAGTCTGAAGTTGAAGAAATTATCTCCTTCTAACTCTAAAATTTTGTATCTTAAAGACTTGAATTATACAGGAATTCACTCCTTTTTTGTTTTACGGGAGCCTGTTTTCTTCAGTCAGTTTGGAACATTTATTCAAGGGAAAATACTCTCTTTATTAATCATCTCTATAATGCTACTGTTCATGGTTTTCCTCTTTTCAATAGCAAAAGTTTTAAATTACATAGACTCAATCCACCTGATTAGAATTGTCTTTTATTTTGTAGGAGTAGTTGACATCCAGGAATAGTAAATTTAGTGGTCTCTGAAAACTCTGTTCAATAGAAAAAGAATGTCTTTTGACATTTTTGTATTTTAAAAGTATTTTCATCTCAGCTTCATATCTTAATCTTTCACAGGAGTGTAATTAAAAAGAGGCTCTTTAAAATGGTGAGGATGTAATTACATATTTTACTTTGGCACTGAGTCTCTTGGTTATTTTGAGCAATAGAATTATTTTATTTCTTGGGTAATATTAGTTCCTGAAAAAATGTCCCAAATTATATCCTGAATTGTAGACATTTGTGTCAGAATTCATATCTTTGGAGAATATGAAATGAAAACATCAGAAGTAAGTAGGAACTGCTTCTCTTTCCATGGCTTTGTTTTATTTTTGGTAAATTAGCCTGATCGATAATGCCTCCTGAGGGATGTCCCATAGCAAAATATTTGACGATTGTCCCATTATCAGAATTTCTAAGAAATGAGTAAAGTCACAGTTTGTTCAATGATACTTGAAAGGTAGCCTAAAATGAGAAGTTAATGCCTTACTGTAAGATCTTAGGGATTTTTTTCCTTTTACTTCAAAAAATCAATAATGATGCATAGGAAAAAAATAAAGATTCTGAAATGTTATGAATGATTATTTTTTTCTAATTTCCCACCGTATTTTGGAATCAGAGAACAACCACTATTGAAGAGATTAATGAGATAATACAATAATTTGATTCTTATAATTACATACTATGTATAAATGAAATATATTGAAGAATTTGAAGATAACTTTGGTTCTTCCATATCAAAAATATCTGAGCTACATATAAACAAAGATGTGCAAAGCTAAGAATAGCATACAAATTATCAGGGCCTCTCTGAAATCTGACCTCAAAAGACGTGTTTCAGACAAATATTTTCTGCAACATATTTTGTTTGGAATTATTTTGAGTCTATACCTCAGTTCTTCCCTCCTGGTTCCTTTTATACTTTGTAAAGAGAAAATTAAAATCTTGTTAAATATGTCTAAATACATTTAAGAAGAGATCTTTTTTGATACTAAATCACCCCATATTTTCATATATACCCTCTAAATATGTGGTTTTTAAATAAAACACTTGACCCAGGAAAAGGATTCTTTAACTGATGTTGACAAAAATTGAGATATCTTTGTATGTGGTTCATGTATCAGAGATTAGTCAAAGAGAAGAATCAGGTTCCTGAATTAGCATGAAGAGAAGCTATTTCTCAATGTATGGTTCTATGCCTTAATTTCAGTAATTAAAAGAAATGAAAGTGTTAGTAACCCATGATCATTTTGTTGATACATATTAAAAACTGAAGTGAATAGAAATTTTTTAAATAATTTTAAGAAATCAAAATTATTTTAGATAATTCACTATTAAAGTATATATAAGTAAGATGCTAGTTTATTAATTTGCTAATTTTTACTAATATTTGTTGATAGGATTTTGTTATCACTAACTTTTAAGCACATATTTACCTATCCCTGTATATATGCATAGAATACAGTATGTAAATTTAATTGCTGTAAGATTACTCAAATTTTAAAATCTTGAGGTATAAAATTTCATAAATAAAATTTTGATGTTTCATAGAGTGATGTGAGCATATGCAGAATCAGACTATGTTTAAAAAACATAAACTGTGATTTCTGAAAATTCCTTTTTTGTCCAGTACACATAGTCACTTATAAATTGAGCAATTTCTAAAATGCATATACTTTGGATTTCCTGTTACTTATAAAAAGGTATTTGCTTTAATCTGTGCAATTGATTTTTTTTTTTTTTTTGGTAGGACTGGAAGGAGAAGTATATAAACCGTGATTATTCAAAGATTTTCACTGAAAATATAGTTGAACAGGTTTGTATTAATAATTACTATGATGTGTAGAGCACTTTTGCCTTGTTTTCCAGAAGGGAACAATAGTAATGCAATATAGCTTTAGCAGAGGTTGTTGTGAAAGTGCAGAAACCATCTTTTAGGTAAAAATCATGTGGCTTAATTACAAATGTTACAGCCTTAAGGGTCATATAGTTGTAAAAATGTAGAACATGGGCTCGAACAATAATTTTAAGATCTTGCCCTTTTTATTAGCATGCTTCCAAATGTTGTAACTATCTCAAACCACGAGAAATAAGGAACCTTTGGCAAATCTCTGGTGTAGGCCTCATTTAGTAAGTATCTTTGAAAGAAATTGAACTTTAAGAGTCTCTTTTCAAAGATTTTTTTTTTAAAAATGAACTCTAGATTAGTGTTCCAAACTGTTGCTAATAGCTTATTTCAGAGAATGTAAGGCATCTTTGATTCTGAGATGCTGTTCTTTTATGTACTGTGAGAAAGAATAAGAATACTGACAATTAAACTAAGACAAAATGTTTTCTAGTCATTTAGAAATTTTTTATTTTGTACATATTGGAAAAGCTAATTTAGACTTATCAAGGTATAGATGTTATCATATGTCATAGAGCACTGTATACATAATAACTTTCATTTCTTTTTTTAATTTTATTGTTATGTTAATCACCATACATTACATCATTATAGTTTTTGATGTAGTGATTCATTGTTTGCGTATAACACCCAGTGCTCCATGCAGAACGTGCCCTCTTTAATACCCATCACCAGGCTAACCCATCTTCCCCACCCCCTCCTCTCTAGAACCCTCAGTTTGTTTCTCAGAGTCCATAGTCTCTCATGATTCGTTTCCCCCTCCGATTTCCCCCCCTTCATTTTTCCCTTCCTGCTATCTTCTTCTTCTTTTTTTTTTTTTTAACATATAATGTATTATTTGTTTCAGAGGTACAGATCTGAGATTCAACAGTCTCACACAATTCACAGTACTCACCATAGCACATACCCTCCCCATTGTCTATCACCCAGCCACTCCATCCCTCCCACCCCCCACCACTCCAGCAACCCTCAGTTTGTTTCCTGAGATTAAGAATTTCTCATATCGTGAGATCATATGATACATCTCTTTCTCTGATTGACTTATTTTGCTCAGCCTAACACCCTCCAGTTCTATCCACATCGTTGCAAATGGCAAGATCTCATTCCTTTTGATGGCTGCATAATATTCCATTGTATATATACACCACATCTTCTTTATCCATTCATCTGTCAATGGACATCTTGGCTCTTTCCACAGTTTGGCTATTGTGTACATTGCTGCTATAAACATCGGGGTGCATGTACCCCTTCGGGTCACTACATTTGTATCTTTGAGGTAAATACTCAGTAGTGCAATTGCTGGGTCGTAGGGTAGTTCTATTTTCAACTTTTTGAGGAACCTCCATACTGTTTTCCAGAGTGGCTGCACCAGCTTGCATTCCCACCAAGAGTCAATGACAAATCGTAGTGTAAATTATTTAGAAAACATTTCAAAGGGCAAGTCAACTCAAGTGCAACACCAGCTACATGCGTGCGTGTACGTGCACACACACACAGATGTATACGTACACACAAGGTGAAGCAGAATGAAAATTTGCCAAGTATACACACACTGTAGCATTACAACTACATCATGGTGGACCCCTGGCCAAATGTGAGTCTAAGATATGTCTTGATTTTATAGATGTTAAAATGCAAAAAAAGAAAAAAAAGTCTTAGCATTAAAGAAAAGCTACTATTATTTGTAACAGTAATGTCAGTAATATTGGGCAAACCTCTTCAAAAGGCATCTAAATGAGATGAATATTGAATATCCCATCCTGTTACTTTTGAAATGCCATTTATTACTTAAAAGATACAAACTATTATTCTCTTAATGGTGATGCCTTGTTTTATAGCCTTGTCCTGATGTCTTTTGGTTTCCCATCTTTTCTGAAAAAGCCTGTGATGAATTGGTGGAAGAAATGGAGCATTATGGCCAGTGGTCTGGGGGGAAACATCATGTAAGTGGTAATTTCACACAAGGAACTATAATGTGTATGTGGGATAGAAGCAGGGGTAGATATTTAGACAATTAAAGGGGATTATCTGTTTTGTCATGCATCTCTGACTCCTAAACCTAAATGCAGGGGCTAGCCAAGGCTGTCAGGAGCACTCTGGTAGCATTTAATCTATCTGGCCTCAGGTTCTCATTTATGTGTGTAATTACACTGGATGGTTTCTAAAGTCAGTGTCTCCAGGCTGGAATGGTAAGGTAATATATGTCTATTTATTCTGTGGTATTGGTCTTCCCCAGGGCCACTTTTTATTCTCTGCATTTTCACAGTGACCTATAATAGTGAAAGGACCCAAAGTTTATCTGGTTGACTGCCAAAGCTGTGTGTGTGTGTGTGTGTGTGTGTGTGTGTGTGTAAACATTGGCAGAAGAAATCTGTTTGAATGCCATTGGTGTAATTCAGTTTTGCATTTATATTCAGTGTCAAAGACTTGGCAGGAAGTATTGCTGTTGGTGGTTCAATGTGTTTCTTTTCCTTGGAGAATCTACAGATGCCTGCTCTTAGGGGAATACTCTGGAATATTACTGTCTCTGCTCAATTTCATACCCCAGCTAGTTAGCTGACCAGAGAGACAGAAGTTCAAAGTATGAGGAAGAACTTGAAGTCAGCAGGTTGTAGGATCATAAAAAGCAATCATGGAAGGACTTTGGGCATCGTAAATTTCAAGTGGGGAACATAGCAGGGAAAGCTTGTTTTCAGTGGTAGGGGATCCAAAGGGCAGACAAGCAGAATCTTTGTCCGTCAAGTAGCTAAGACTGCCTGGAGGGTTACTGTAAAACACCAATTTTTTAGGAGGCATGGGGGGCTTTGGAAATACGTTTTATTTACTTTATAGAGACCTCACATATATATTAAATAAGTAAGAAAAGAGTCTGATACTTTGCTGCATCCTTGATGCATGTTATCTAAGTTATTTTGAGTTTTGCAATTAAAGCAGATGGTACACCATGATTGAACAACGGTTATTTTTATTGTCTATTATGATCTTGTGGTTGAAAAAATTCCAACGTAATATAAATGTGAATTGCATGTGGACCACACTTTATGACATCATTAATGCTGTTTCTAGGATAGCCGTATATCTGGTGGTTATGAAAATGTCCCAACTGATGATATCCACATGAAGCAAATTGATCTGGAGAATGTATGGCTTCATTTTATCCGGGAGTTTATTGCACCTGTTACACTGAAGGTCTTTGCAGGTTATTATACGAAGGTAGTTATCCTCCCATTCCCCTTGTCCACCTCCTACTAGTTTTTACACAAATGTGCTATTTTACATTTTTATTGATAAGCAAATCCATTGGTGTACTTTGCGTTTTTAGGGGTTTGCTCTATTGAATTTTGTAGTAAAATACTCCCCTGAAAGACAGCGCTCTCTTCGCCCTCATCATGACGCTTCTACATTTACCATCAACATTGCACTCAATAACGTGGGAGAAGATTTTCAGGTAATTACGGCTTTGATTTTTCACACCCTGTAAAAGAAATATGTCATTATGATTTTTAATTTTTTTAGATTTTTTTAGATTTGCCTTTTTTTTTAAGATTCTGGTTAGATGACATAATTTGAATTTTCCCACTGATTAAAAATTAAACATAATAAGCTGATATATTCATTTGTTCCATCTCTTTTAGGGAGGCGGATGCAAATTTCTAAGGTACAATTGCTCTATTGAATCACCCAGAAAAGGCTGGAGCTTCATGCATCCAGGGAGACTCACACATTTGCATGAAGGACTTCCTGTTAAAAATGGAACGAGATACATTGCAGTGTCATTTATAGACCCCTAAGTTATTTACTTTTCATTGAATTGAATCTTCTTTTGGAACGGACGAACATGTCTTTGAAGTTGTGCTTGAGAAGATGAGAGGAATATTTAAATAACTTCAACAGAACAACTTCACTTTGGGCCAAACATTTGAAAAACTTTTTGTAAAAAATTGTTTGATACTTCTTAATGTCTGCTCTGAGCCTTAAAACACAGATTGAAGAAGAAAAGAAAGAAAAAGTAAAAGCAAATATTTATTTCTATGCCTTATTTTCTCTGAGAATAATGACAGTTTTCTGAATTTGTGTTTCAATTGATAAAATATTCAGCTATAAATGTACAAGTGACAAGAGACTAATAATATTTTATTAAAAAAGCATGGGAAGAATTTTATTTATTAACATGTAAACAAAATGAATATAAGTGAAAATTGACAATTTTTGAAACATTGGAAAACTGGAGTTGTAACTAAATTTGTATGCAACTAATTGTGTAAGTACTTTTTTTTATGACCTATACAGGTACCTTTTATAGTAGTTACTGAAGGAATACAAAGAACAGTAAATATTACACAATGTTTTTCCTCAAGAAACTTAGTACAGAATACAACTGAGGTTTAGAGCCAGTTGAAAACATTTTTGTTTAGATTGTTAGACAGATTTTGTTTTGTTACATTTGTATTAGAAATCAAACCCTATATTCCTTCAGATTAATTTTCCAAGGTGGACTATATTGAGTAGGTATTAGATTTAGGAAAGTTTTCAAGCCTTTCCATTTTGTGAAGTGTATCAAATATCAACTTAAGATCAGCAAGTGTCCTTGAGTCAAAACAGGCTTTTGATTTTAATTCTAGAAAATAATGAGGAAAAAGAAAATTTCATGAGATTAGTAGTAGCATTTTATGATTTTTAAAAAACTTGGTTAAGTACTTGAATTTTATATCAGGAAAATAAAGTTGGTGAGCCTTTCTTCTTCTCTTTGCCCTTTGTCTCCTTCCTTATTCTTTTTTAGAGAAGGTTATTTACCTTTTTGTCTTTCCAGCATAGTCTCCATTTTATCCTTCCTACTCTTTTTGTTACCTTTTCTTAATCCCATTTTTAAAAAATTCCCCAGCACAAAAAATTTGTGACTTGATTTTTCACCATTTCTCTGAGTGAGGTTTAAATATACTTATTATAGCTACTGTTTTTAATTTAAAGGTTAAACTTGAAATAAAGTTGTAAGTCATGGTGCCAAAATTCACTTTTCTAACACCATGTGTTAGAAAATTATGAAAAATAAAATAATTAAAATAAGTTTCTGTTGGCCTCTTTATTACTTGGTGATTTATCTTTAGAAGAGAATGTATGATGGAGTATCCTAAAGCAATATCTGGATGTAATAGGCTATGATTTTTTCATTTTGATTGCTATATTTACTGATGATATTATAACTTAATGAAAACTCTACTTACTGAATTATGAATTGCATTGTATTATCTTCAATCTCACAATGACTGGGGATTGATCTAATTTATTTTACAAGTGAAGAAATACAGATAAACATTTATTCAATATATATTTATCTATTCAGTGGTATATTTATTTATTTATTGACTCTTCAGATCACATTTATTAGGGGGATGATTTTTTTTTAATTATGTTCAGTTAGCCAGCATATAGTACATCATTAGTTTTTGATGTAGTGTTCTATGATTCATTAGTTGTGTATAACACCCAGTGCTCATCACAACGCGTGCCCTCCTTAATACCCATCACCCAGCTACCCCATTCCCCCCACTGCCCCTCTCTTCTGTTACTCTGTTCGTTTCCTGGAGTCCAGAGTCTCTCATGGTTTGTCTCCCCCTCTGATTTCTTCCCATTCAGTTTTCCCTCCCTTCCCCTGTGGTCCTCCACACTATTCCTTATGTTCCACATATGAGTGAAACCATATGATAATTGTCTTTCTCTGCTTGACTTATTTCAATTAGCATAATCCCCTCCAGTTCCATCCATGTCGATGCAAATGGTGGGTATTCAACCTTTCTGATGGCTGAGTAATATTCCATTGTATGTATGTATTCAGTGGTGTTTTTCAAGTCCCTACTATGGGCCATGCAGGAGATAGTGATGATCAAGATTATAATTACTGGAAGATGGACTTAGGAAATAAGGAAGTTGGGTTCTACCTCTTTTCTCTTCTTTGGTGGCACTTAATACTCGAAGTAAATTCCTACAGCCCATCAACTTTGTTGAAGAGACATGTTATTAATTATTTCTGAATTACATTACAATACTTCAGGGATGGTATTCTAAATATGTAACAACTGGTATGTCGTGGATACCAGCCAATCAGAGCAGACTCTGGTTATAAACTGTTAACAGAGTGCAAGCAGCATAATGTCCCTTGTGATACACTTCAGAAGAAAGACATCTGCTAGATCCTAGTTCTTTTCAGTTGTGGTTCACATGCGTGGCAACCTATAGTAACTATTTTAATCTCATGCTATGTTTTCAGAAACTGGATCAAGGCAGTCAATAGCATTTTCTATCTTCCCTCTTGTCCCAAGTTTCATGAAATTATATGAAATGTACTTTTAAAAAGAACAATTCATAATTAGTGAGGAAAAGTGTGAAAATTCCCGTAAGTAGATCAGCAAATTGGAAAGATGGAAAATAGGTAGGATTGGATGCATGGAGAACACTCAACTCTGTCAACCACCAGTCTGTTCTTCTGTTTCTGTGAGTTCATTTTTTTAGATTGCACATGTAAGTGATATGTAGTGTTTGTCTTTCTCTGTCTGACTTATTTCACTTAGCATAATGCCCTCAAGGCTTGTTCATGCTGTCACAAATTGTAGTATTTCCTTCCTTTTTAAGATTGAATAATATTCCCTTGTATATATACCACAATTTCTTTATGCATTCATCCACCTGTGAACACTTAGGTTGTTTCCATGTCTTGGCTATTATAAATCACGCTGCTACAGTAAACATGAGGATGCAGATTGTTTTTTGAGATAATGATTTTCTTTCAGATACACTCCCAGAATTGGAATTGCTAGATCATATCCTTGCTATTTTTAGTGCTTTATGGAAGTGAAATCTTTTACTCTGAATATATATTTGTGTATTGTTTAATATAAAGAACAAACAGTAGAAAGAAAAGGGGGGGAATTCCCATAACTAATTTAATTTGAATAAATGGAAGTATATTGATGTCAATAGTAACTATTTGTGTTTATGCATACATGTTTGTGTGTGTTTTTGTGTATACATGTATTCCCAGGGAGCTTTAAATGCTCATATTGGTGGCTTTTTCCTAATTCTAAATGTGCATAGGAATTAATGTGAATATTTTTCCTTAATACAGATACTTTACCATAGCACAAACCCTCCCCAACATAACATAATAATTAAAAAAAAAAAAGGAAAAAAATACAGATACTTTAGTAGTAGTTCAGTATATTAATTTTCTTGATTCTGGTTCATTTTTAAAAAACACTAATAATTTACTTGCATTGGTAACTAACCGAAGAGATCAAATACCCCTTCACAGAATTAAAATAAGGAAAACTATTACCATATGGATTGAGTCCCTTCTGTCCATCCTAATAACAGAATCTCTTTATATATTCCTTCACTCCTATTTTCTTGTCTGTCATCTGCACTTACTAATTTCTCTGCTTGCTAAGCCCTACAGTCCATCTTGTATGACATTTTGGGGGCCTGTCATTCATTTGGAATATGGAGTGGTCTATTCAACAGATCTCTTCGAGTTGCAGGAAAAGCCAAATACAATTTTTAGTCACAGTTGAGAGTCGGTCTCAGCAAATAGCCCTCTTTGACTAGATGTTGACTATTTTGGAAAATTAAAGTCCTTAAGACTTCATGAAAGCAGCCTTTGTCAAACAGCGCTGTTTATCTGTGGTCTTTCAGAATAGCAAGCTACAGACTTCTTTTAGAATAACTCTTATTAAGAAAAAGCCCTTGGGGTGAAAAAAGGGGAAAATGTATAAAACTCTTTAATGATAGCAATGAATTCTGGATGAAATTTGAAGAGAAATACAAATAAGTAATGGAAAGAGTAGAAAACTACATGTAGACTTGTTTTAAAATGTGAAGTACAGTATAGCTTAATTATTCTAATAAAAGGAACTAGAAAAATTGGAAAGATGAGTATACATGCTAGGGATGTGTGGACTTTATAAATCTAAACTTTCCTGACAGCTTTCTTTTAAGAATTAAATTATATTTTTGCATCATGGTTAATATATTAAAATAGATCATGTGGGGGGCACCTGGGTGGCTCAATCAGTTAAGCCATTGTCTTCCCCTCCGGTCTTGATCTCTGGGTCCTGGGACCTTGTCGGGCTCGTTGCTCAGTGGGGAGCCTGCTTCTCCCTCTGCCTCTGCCTGTCGCACCCCCGGCTTGTGCTCTCTCACTTGTGCGTTCTCTCTCTCTCTCATAGATAAATAAAATCTTAAAAAAAAAAAACCAAAAACTCATGTGAAAAGTAGCTTCTTTGCTGATTTTTGAGGTGGTGGTGTTTGTTTAATAAATCAAGTAACTGATTATTTTGGCATGCTGTTGTGTCTCTACTGAAAAATGGTTAACTAAGAAATCTGAATTTTTATAATCTTTTGAAAATTAGAAAGGAATTTTGGCCTATTTAACAATACAAAACACACAAGTAATCAACTTAAAGAAGTTTTAACAGATGAAATGGAAAGATCATGCATGCCATAAATAACATAAAGAAAATACGGTTTCGGGCGCCTGGGTGGCTCAGTTGGTTGAGCGACTGCCTTCGGCTCAGGTCATAATCCTGGAGTCCAGGGATCGAGTCCCGCATCGGGCTCCCTGCTCCTCGGGGAGTCTGCTTCTCCCTCTGACCCTCTTCCTCTTGTGCTCTCTATCTCTCATTATCTCTCTCTCAAATAAATAAATAAAATCTAAAAACTTTAAAAAAAAAAAAAAAGAAAATACGGTTTCTTTCAAATCAT